ATTAGAGGCTTGCAATATGTTGAGAGACATTTCTAGATTTCGAATATAGGACCCACGAGAGGAAAAAAAGGATAGGTTAAAGATAAAAATTTCAACCAGAATTTTTTTTTTGAAAATTATCTTTTTGGAAAATGCGTCAATTTTAATAGAAAAATCAGCAAAAATTTAAAAATGTATTAAATGGCGATGTTCAGAGCTACAAAATGAAGCTAAAATTGTTTTAGAAAAGGGGACGCGAAGCGTTCTATAAGCCTAGTACTGTACTCATAGTTAATTTGACAGTTACATGCAATCATATAATTTCAACATTTATCTTCATTTCTGTCAGAAATACCTATATTTATAAATATAGTATATCAATAATTCCTTATAATATTCCTAATTATACTAGAGAGAGCTTATAAGACAAAGCAACTATAGTACTTGTCTCAAGTTCTTAATTCATAATATCCAATATCTTCGAAACCTTTGATCAGAGTTTGAATTTTAAAAAAAGTCTATTATAATTGATGTGCACGCTCTATCGCAAAAATCAAGCAGTATTTGCCAAATATCACTTTTAAACTTATGCGAGAAACTATAAAATTGTACATTTGAGTTTGTGAACCCAGTTACGACACAGCCAATGTCAAAATTGTAATTCAAAATCTTCAGAAAGGAAATTTGTGTGAAAAATACAAGCTTTGGATTTTTAAACCTTCAAAACCAATATTTTTCTGTTTATCCTTGTAAGAAACTTGTAACCGGAAGTAGTTTCCCTGCGTTGATCAGGATACCGGAAGTAGAATTAGGAGGTCAATGTTAGAGATGCTGGAGACACCGGAACTATATCCGCAAAGCGCGACATCACTGTTACATAAGTACTATATCCGCTGCTATGAAATATTTCAACAAGACAGGAGAAATCCTTGAACGAATTATCTATCTATCTATCTATCTATCTATCCTAATTTGAGTCATGCGTGTATAATTATGTGACGCTAATTAGAAGTTTCTTTGAAATTGTATCATTTTCCTGAAAAAAAAAACAAGAACACGAGTATTGTCACTTTCGGGCGTCAATGTTGTTGAGGGTGCCGTAAAGATGAAATTCTATAAATGGAGGGTTGCTTGAAATTCCATAAAAAGGAATGTTTACGGTTTCCAAAAGAAGGTTATACGATCACAAAAAAAAATATTTTGACCAATTGGTATCCAATATCGATCGTATCCCCTTAAATCCTTTTCAAAAGCGTAGAACTTGATCCTCAGAACAAGAGTTATTAAATTTTAAATATATCTAAACAATAAGTAGTTAAGATGGCATCGTATTTTTTTAATTAGCATTAAAATACTTGAACGTGTGAAAATGTGCACCTTTACCAGATTACAGATACACAAACTTTAAAATATGCCTTTGCTTAAATAATTATATAATTTACACTGCAAGCTAGACGGAAGGAGAAGCTCATTTGAAAACTTAAAAGATAAATGTACTTTAGTTGACAATTTCTTGAATTTTTCTGTTTAGACCTCAGAGTGACATCGTGGATTATCTGTTTGCATATGTATGCACATTTTTAAAAATAATAATCGTCGTCATTTGGTTTCCAGAGGCCGGATTCAACGAATTTGAGCCGCGGATTAAATTTGAGACGCGGCTCAAATCTGTTTGGTTCCACTTGAAATTGTATTCAATGTTTCAATTGAAACCGGTTTTTGGCGGATTTGAGACGCGGCTCAAATTCGGTTTAGCAGACAACAAGACAAGAAGAGTGCATGGGGACTCTTGAATCATGAATTTCTTGGATAAAGATAATTAACTATTGTACAATATATTTTTGACAAATTACTATAGCTTTCTACTGATTATTTAACCAATAATTATGAAGGTTTACGTATGACAGATGACAAAATGGGTTGGGGATATTGAATCTTTATCGCTTTTTTGAATTTCTATAAAGGAAATCAACTTTTATGTTCTATCAGTCAAACGTCAAAACGGCTAAACCGATCGGATACAACTTTTTTGTGGCAACTTGCATAACCCTAGAAAATGGTATGGACTATCAAAAGGGAAACATTTTGCCAGTAAATAATTAAATTTTTACTGTTAGCATTTTTTAAAAATTCAGCAATTTAAACAGAAAATCCGTGTAACTTGCTTCCATAAAAAATGCTGGCTTGAAGAAAAAAGCACTTTAACGGTTAAAAGCTAAATGGTTATTAGAGAAGAGGCGCGTTGCGCCTTAAAGCCCTGTACTTATTCATATATAAGGGCAATTAAATCAATTATTATTTTTTTCAGATACTAAAAAGTAAAAGTGCTGAAAATAAATGATATAATGTGGTGGTTTGATTAACTTGGACAAAGGAGAAAAAATAAGAAAAGAAAGTTTAATTAATCCACAGGGATTACAATCAACGTGAAGTTGTTAAATTATCTTATCAGAGTCTATATGGGTGAAATTACTTTTCTACAGACACAAAAAACAATGTAATAAAATTGAAACATATTCTATGATTGAAATTTATGCCGGTGGGTGTTTTAACATTCAATTCCCAAGGCCCAAACATGGTAAAAAGATACCTAATTGTAAATAGTGTATTTTTTTATAAACCACGTTTTTAAACAATTACCCCCCCCCCCCCATCCTAAATTCATGTTTATTGTATCTTATAGTTATCTGACAAGCTCTGTGTGAGAATACAACTTGTTAAAAATGTTGGTTTCCATGCTGACCAGCCTTCTCAGCCTGTTGGTCCAGAACCCAGTTCAACGCAGGACAGGAACCATCATTCAACAAGATACGCAGGTATACGCATTCAAACTTTTTCAAACTATGTTCTACTTGTTTAAGTTTATTTCTTATATTTTTCCACTTTTTAAAACTTATTTCTGCCTTTTTCAAACTTTTTTCCACAAATTTAACTTTTATCCACTTAAAAAAAACTGTTATACTTTTACATTTCAACACTTTAACACTTTTTACTTTAACGCATTCACATTTTAACAGTTGTTCTCTGGTTAGCTTTTCTTTCTCTCTTTCTTTTTTCTTTCTTTCTTTCTTTCTTTCTTTCTTTCTTTCTTTCTTTTTTTCTTTCTTTCTTTCTTTCTTTCTTTCTTTCTTTCTTTCTTTTTTTCTTTCTTTCTTTCTTTCTTTCTTTCTTTCTTTCTTTCTTTTGTTCTTTCTTTCTTTCTTTCTTTCTTTCTTTCTTTCTTTCTTTCTTTCTTTCTTTCTTTCTTTCTTTCTTTCTTTCTTTCTTTCTTTCTTTCTTTCTTTCTTTCTTTCTTTCTTTCTTTCTTTCTTTCTTTCTTTCTTTCTTTCTTTCTTTCTTTCTTTCTTTCTTTCTTTCTTTCTTTCTTTCTTTCTTTCTTTCTTTCTTTCTTTTTTCTTTCTTTCTTTCTTTCTTTCTTTCTTTCTTTCTTTCTTTCTTTCTTTCTTTCCTTATTTTCTTTTTTTCTTTCTTGATTTCTTTCTTTCTTTCTTCCTTTCTTTCTTTCTTTCTTTCTTTCTTTCTTTCTTTCTTTCTTTCTTTCTTTCTTTCTTTCTTTCTTTCTTTCTTTCTTTCTTTCTTTCTTTCTTTCAAAACAATAAAATTTAATATTTTTTACATTTTTATCGTCGAGTTTTTCTATTCTTGGATATTTAAAACCAAATAAAAAAGCTTCTTTACTCTTTTTCAATTCTTGATATTTTAAGACTAATCAGAATATTTGATCCTGAATAAAACCAGACTTAATGACGTATCTCAAGGACAAAGTCGTCTAATGAGATCGAATTCGTATTAACCTTTGCCAGAGAGGAATGTACTTTTGAGTCAACAGCATTTTCATCAATTCAATTTTAAATCATCAATATTTTATTAGAATTTTAGTTCTTTACATTTAACACAAACATACCTTTGTATTTTTAATGTTTTGTTTAAAAAAAAAACTTGGTCTTGAAAGGTTTATTATTTTGTGCCGATGCTCCATGAGACAATTTTAAAATTTGAAAAGTGTCAAGACATTCTACCTGCAATATGAGTTGAGGGGGGCAGGGGGGATACCGCCCCTCCGTTATTCTCGGTCATTGTCTGTGTTTCCATTTCATTCTTTCTTGATAAGGATTAAATATTGAGTCCAATGCATGACAGGTTTACAAATAAACAATTTAACAATTAAACAAAAAATATGTTTAACGGTTTATTTTCTATTAAACGACTAGCAAGATAGTCCACAAAAATTATTTTTGACAATGAAGAAATCAAAACTTTGGTTGGTCAATTCTTTTATAATAATTTTACAATATGATAAACAAACTAATAAAATAATTGCAATTTTCGTTGCTAATTTAATAAAATTATAGATATAGATTTCTTTGAATAATAAACTTAGTATATACATAAAGTCCGAATACTAATTAATGATAATTTAATAATGACTAAACTTTAAAGTGTGGAGGAAAAAATTAAACCGACATTAAAATTCATGTGATGGTTTAAACATAATGTAACATTTATGAGTTAATATTTTTGTACTCAAGATAAGGGACAAAATAAAAACAGTAACTCACTTTTTATGTAAATATGAAAAAAAATATTTTGTATTTGAGGATTTCCAATTTGTAATCTTCGTTTTGAAACCTTCGATTTGTAATGAAATTTTAATGCCAAAAACTATAGGTATTAAAATTTCAGTACATTCCGTGTTCGATAAAAAGACGACATTTAAGAGTTTTTTTCAAGATGTTAAACCACAGCAGCAAGCATGATTACTAGTTATTATCCGATCGTTAAACATTTCCTAGCTGTGATTAAGGCTAGCTAGCCGAGGAAATCGCCGCTAAATCACAAGTAGAAAGGTCTAACGAGTCGGACATTTGCTAGTTAAATTTTCTTCCACCATACTTTCTTTCTAGAAGGGTTAAAAGGAATTATTAAATATAAAACATAAAATATAATTCTGACAAAGTAAATATTGAAAATTTTTGAATAACTGTTTATATCCAGGAGAACAATTCTCGTAAGAAAATTCCCTTCATCATTTTTAAAGAACTCCTTAAAGGGACTGCCCTCGTAATTTCAGTTGAGCTTCCATTTAAAAAGAAACACAGCTTGATTGAACCTTAATCTGATAAATAATATGGAGGATAACGTAGATTTGTGGGGGCTTAATAAGTAATTAATTCTGATAATTTCTACAGTTTCTAAAGCAAAAAATGCGCTAGTCACTTTCGCAGAGAAACCACAAATGAAAGTTGTCAAAAACAATAATATGGATATCTAATTCTTACTTGATTAGAAAAATCTTTTAAGGATACCTTTTGAAACATGTCACTCATCAATGGAGGGTCACTTGAAATTATGCCTACGTTCCCTTTAAGCGCTAAACCTTGAAAAAGTGTAACTGTGGCGCCCTTTTCACAAATTATGAAAATGTGTCACTAATCACTACGGTTTGTTTCATGTCTAATATAGTAAATGCATTTAAATATTTAAAAATCACACACGTAATTTTCATATGTAAACAACATTCATTGGAACATTTGATTAAATTTCATTGAAAGGGGAAAGAATTTAATAATGTTTGATAAATATTTTTACATAGAAGATTTCAAAGATCATTGTGTACTGCAGTGTTCAAAATCACCCAAAACAATACGTAAATAAACTGTACACTGAGTTTGTTTACATTCCTCCCTCCAACTGCAGTACGCTTAATGTTTGTAAAATCTTAAATCACTTACAGATTTGTCGTTCTAATTGTTCTGTGAGTTAATGCTTACAGAGTTCAAAACTAAATATTTAGAAAAACGGGGAAATTATTCCGTCTTGATATTTTGAAATTTCTCCTTTGTGGCAAGGTCATATTGAAAATTATTTGTTTAAAATTAAAAATGGCGGGAGTTGTCATTTCTGGTCCTTCTTCAGACAAAGGAATATCAAATGCTGTAAACTTATTGAGTTAATTATTTAACATTTCAACCCGTTTGTGGAGATAATATATTATTATATTATATTATATTATTATAATGTTTGTGGAGATAATTTAGGGATAAACTCGGTGAAAAAGTTGAAGGGGTGCTTAGTGAAATTGATTTATTATAATGTTTTAATGCGAACTTAAAAATTGATATTTTAAGTGATTTTCAAATGAAAATTTTTAATAGCATTAAGTTTGAATTACACTCTTCCTTATTTATCAGAAGATTAGCATTTAACAAAACAAGGAAAAAACTAAATAAAGGAAAAATCAAGGGCAACAGGAATTTCCGAAAAATAAACTTAAACTGAAAAATTAATCCTGATTAAATGTTGAATGCTTGATAACACTGAACACACATGGTTCTTTGTTAAACAACCCCCAATCATCCTTATCAACTAAGATTGAAAAATTTGATAATTTAAAAAGAAATAAAATTCATAAAACTCTTAAAAGTTATTTATTATACACTGCACCCCTTCAATTCTACCTTGTCAAAAATGGAGGATTTTATGTTTCAAATATTCTGCAAATTTATGAATATTTTGCGCACTATATTTCGTACTTTTATGCTTCAAATCACGCAAAAAATTCCCTGGAGGGGGCTTTAGAGTACAGATGAACATTTGGAGATCTTCTGGGCTCGTCCAAGGCGTAACTTCCCTCGTCTTTTTTACGCATTCTAGGATACAAATCAATCAATAAGATTTTCAAGATTGAAAATAAAATTCAAGCAGCTGTTTGATTTTTTTAAAATCTTAAATAAACACAAAGTTTTAAAATATTTTTAGTCCTATATAAATAAATCATTACGAATTTAAAATCTATTCTGTAATTTCATCAGTTATGTTTTTTCTTTTCTTTACTTTACTTCTTGTTACACTGAACTGCATATCATCTCTTGATGCACTAAGAGGCAACGGTACCCTTTGAACTTGATTTGATCGATAATGTGAAAGATATCGTCGTTTATCTGGCTTCTGAAGTGTTTAATTTCGATATTTTCTTCCAATCCTTTCTGCAGGAGAAATGCACTAGTAGCTTTTAAAGAAAACCACTATTGAAATAATGCAACTTTAAACGAGATAAAAATGGATATCTCTTTAATACTGGATCAGACAAAGCTTTAAGGGTGCCCTTATATATCCAAGGGATATTAGTTCCAGAACTAACATTTGGCCCAGTGTTAGAAATGGGCCAAATCTGCAAAGTTATCCTTTTCAAGAGTATATATCTTTAAATCCAAAACGAGAGGAACAAAATTGCAATATATGTTTATAAAAAATGGCTAAAACTATATATTGAAACAATAAATGTCAATTTTAAAATAATAATAAGGTGTAAGAAATAGTTTTTGATGATTCTTGATTTCATTTTTGAACATACTCCTATTTTGAAAGACGGATTTCAGCTTATGTCGCGTTTTCGGAACATATCCTGGTTTTGAGACAATTACCGGGATTCATATCAATGTCAAGTTTTAAGCATTTACGCACTTACGTAACAAAACAAGATTTTTTAATAAGGTAAAATATAAACAAAATAGAAAATAAAAAAAAAACTGTTCTCTTATAATTTAAAATCATTACAGGATTGAGAAATCAAAGTTTTAATATCATTTGTTCTTACAATATAGATTTAACTAGAAATGCGGGAAACTGTTTGTTTAAAATGTTTGAAAATAAATTATCCATATTCTCTAATTTAACAGATAAAATGTTGAAACTTAGATTCTAGAAATAATTCAGAAGTTAAGGGGATGGTGGAGTTGGCACATTTGATGTAAGGGGGGGGGTTCAAATGTGCCAACTCCACCATCCCCTTTAGTCTTCATAAGATAATTTTTATTTTCATTGATTTATTTTGTAAGTTCTGAAAGTGGGTTTTGTTTTGAATTATGAATTATACTCAGAAACGGGAAAGTGGGTATGTTTTAACTTCAGGATATGTTATAAAATGGAAAAACTGACATTGTCTTGAAAACATTCAAGAGGTTTAATAAAAAGAACTCATATTATAATTTTGATTTTTAAAAAAGTTTAAAATTGGGAATTGTTGTTCTAGTCATGTAAAATAAAATGTTGTTTACAGTTTTTATTTTCGTCTTTTACTCTGGATATGGGCCGAAATCCCAAAAACCCAGTCTTCCAATTTGTGGTAATTTCTGACACTCAGTGTTACAAATGGGCCAAGTTTTAGTTTTGGAACTAATGTCCCCTGTTATCGGTCATGTCACTCTCTCAATTGAGAGTCACTCGATATAACGCCTGTAGTCCCTTTTTCCAGTAGAAAATATAGTTTTTAAAAGTGTGCTGGGGGATCCCTGGGTGTAGTTACCTGTACACAATGAACATAACAAGAAGAATGGCACAAAGAAGCCCAACGACTGCCCCGCCCACAACAGCTGCCAGTATCCCAGGCTGAGCGAAGAATGAAGGAGGGTGGAGATTAGAATTCTCAACAGAACTCTGTGTTGTCTCATCTTTGTTGAATACAGCCGCCTGAGTTGTTGTTGTAGTTGATGTTGTCCCGGCTGTTGTTTCCTCATTGAACACAATATCATCGTTCTTGAAGTATATGTTGTTGTTGTCGTTGAAGGCGGGCGAGTCTGGTTCGTTTTGATTCTTATTCTTATTTTTATTTTTGTTTTTGTTGTTTCTGTTTTTGTTGTTAGGGACATTGTCATTGTCATTCCAATCATATTCTTCTCCACTTCCTAAACACACATAGAAAAAAATGAATTAAGCTAAGAATTACCCCTCCACTAAATTTATAGACACAGACTAATGAACAAAAAAAACAGACTTATGAACACATGAGTATATTTGTCAAAAGATCTTAAATGATAATTTTTTCTTAATCTTAATCTGTAATTTAAACTTGTTATACCGTCATCGTAATCATCTTCTCCCTCGTAATCATCATCATAATTGTCTCCATATTCTCCAGACCCTTCATCTACAGTATCAATAGCAGGTGGAGTGTCAGGGCCGTCCTCCTAGATTAGGTTCAGTCAATGATAGTAAATTGAAAATGAAATTGTCATTATTTTGCAGTTGCCTACCGCCCTCAGAAGAGAACGGACCTCTCTTATAGCGGTCCTGGCTCTATAGTTAGTTGCACATCTTGTATCCTACAGGGGAGTAAGGAATGTACATAAAATAAAACAAGCCATGCACAAAGATATCGGTTTTTTACTAGACCAGCTATGAGGACTGGACTGCTGTGTAAGATTCCTCTCAATTGGGCTTTAAGGCTTACAACTCCTCATTTTGCATAAAGGGTGCAGTTATGGGCTTCCTTAAAATCCCCTGAAGTCGGAAAGACTATAACATGGGAGCAATCCCTTATACCCTTCCTCCTACAAACCTCCTTATCTCCTCAGCTAATTCAATTAAGTACGGGGTTCAGAAAAAAGCAAGTTCCTTTAAAAATAGATCTTTCTTGTAAAGTGGCGAACTACAAGGATATCCAAGAAAAAATTCTTTCCTTTTTATATTCAAAATTAGCCAAAATATGATTGAAAGATGTACGAACATGAAGAAAATGAATATCAAGAAATAAATAAATCTCAAAATATTCACATCTGATATCATATATATATTTAAAAATGTTGTAAATTGAACTAAAATAATAAATTAAAGTTAAAACAAATTTATGTGTCCTCTGTCCCCCTTAAAGGGACTGAATGTCGAATTAATTTTAATTTCAAGTGAAGGGGGTCCAAAAATCGTTCTCTAGGAATATACCATGAAGTTTTCATATAAATTATTTTGAAACAAAGTTGTTAACTTGTTACAAGTATCTCGGATACACAGTGAGAGGGGGGCAAATTAGGGGTTCCCTTAATATTCTCTCTTCATTTACTTCTAACTATTTCACANTTCGTAAGTCGAGTATGCAAAATTTTTTTTTGTTATTTCTGTGTTTACCTTCCAAACCCATTGGGAGTTTTCCCAAACATATTCTGCAGTACACCAGCTGAGATGAAGATACACAAACAAATAAACTAACTTCATTCTGGATTTGTAGACAGCCCAGCGTTTGTGTCAATTGTTAGCAGATTTAAACCTGTTCACTGCATTTTCCAAACCCCCATAGCTTTAACTCTTTTTTTCTAAAAAAACTATAAAAAATCAGTAATAGATATAATATATCAGTATCAGTAATAAAAAAATATTTAGTTGTTAAATAAAATTTTAACCTTTGACTTATTTTTAAGTATTGGTGCACTTATGTTATTGATTTTTTAGTACGCGCAAGTTGTCCTCTGATGCCCCGTACAGTTTTGGATTGAGGTCGTCGTTGCACATGTTGTAAGGTAATAAATGCAGAAAGTTTCAAATATGTAGATAACTTTAAGTATTTTTAAATTTAGATATATTTCAGTGATTTTCGGCAATCTTAAAACTCTAATTTTTTGTTACTTCTGTATGCTTTAAAAATAATAAAAATTTCAACCGAGATACTGGATGAAACATTTTTAAGGTTCAACTTTTATGCTTATTTGTATTAAGTCTATTTAGTTTTTAATATATCTACTTTCTTACAATTAGACACTGTTTTATTCTGTAAAAATAAAAATATAAAGAATCAAGTTTCAAAAAATCAGACTATGACCGGTTCAGACAGTAGCAGACCATGACGTCATACTTTCAGTATATTACGAGAAAAATGGCGGGGTCGCCGGGAAGTGACAAGATTTTTCTTCATGGATTTTCGATAATTTTAGCGGTAATTGTTGCTGAATCTGCCCGACTTAACGTTCCAAGAGTTCTCCTGCCGTTCAGTGATACTCCGCCCAAATATCTACTATCAGGTTGGTTGTAAATAGGCGTAAAAGCCGGATTCTAATTTAGTGATCTGCTTTATTTGAAATGTTTAAAAATTATTTTATTTAGCGGATGGTGGTTGCTATAAATGGAGTTCGAATAGACCTGACATTATTAATATCAAGCAGACTTCAGAGTGTTCTTCTACAGTGGTAAATTACCTTAGGATAATTAACGTCAGCCATGCGCAGTTTAGTCCTAGCTGAATGATATTATGAAGATTTGTGTCAAATCCCGTCCGCCCCCCCCCCCCGCCTCCCGACATTTAGAGTGATTATTGGCCTGTCCCTGAGAACCCGTCCCCATTCCACCCTTTTTTCTGTTTTGCATGTACCTTAAATGATTTTCATAAAAATTATAGTTTATATTTTTATTGCTTTTGGGTTACGTTAGGTTAAGACAACTTTTAAGGTCCGTCCTAGTATACGATTTTTGGCCCACCCTCCTTTCAATTTTGTTCATGACTAAGATTTCATCAAAATGGCTTAGATTTTCAACAAAAATATTTATTTTGTATTAATTCAGGGTATAACCGTATACCCGGTTAGGTCAGGATAATTTCTGGGCCGAGCACTGCGGTCAGAACAGTAAAGGGTGCCGAGCGCTGCGGCAAGGACAGACCTTCAATTTAAACAATTTTCAACAAATTAGTATATATTTAGGGTTAGGTAAGGTTAAGACACTTTCCGGGCCGAGCGCTGCGGCTAGAACAATAGGGGGCCGTGCACCACGACTAAGATAGGTTAGGGGGCCGGGCGCTTCTGCTATTTGATATGTCCAACTTTATCCTAGCGTTAAAGATGAGATGCATGTACAAATTGATGGGAGGGGGGGGCGGGGGTTCTAAAAGTTGTAAACCAGGAAATCGCCCAATTATTGGGCTGAGTGCGGTGGCGAGAATTAACCAAAGGGCCGAGAGCCCCGGCTAGGACAAGCTAGGAAACTTTTCCAAAGGGTAGTGTAATATTAGCACTGTTATTCTTGTTTTCCAGTGGATTAGTGTAGTAAGTAGAAGCGGGCAAAAGGGAAGTGTAGGAGTACTTGCCGAAGACACTGATAGCGGACTGGTTCTCAGAGCTGATGTGATTGTTGACAAGATTCACTCTCTCAAGGTAAGAATTAAGTTCATTATTAAATCAGTTCTTTTATATTTCATTTTCAAGATGTCACCTACGAAAATCCTTAATTCAAATTTTTCTCTATAATTTTTTTAGAGATATACTGAACTTGCATAAACCCGTTTAAAAATGGTTATGAAATTCATACCCTTTGCAATTTGTTCAATCTTTCACAAAAATCAACTCGTTAAATTTTGACAAGCATAAGAAGAAAATATTTGTTTAAAGATAGTGACCAAAACCCACGAGTTGTATAAGGAGGAAACCCCAGAGAAGTTTGAAGTGAGGGCATACGACGAGCAAGGTAAAAACAGTGTAGCACGTAATCAATCAACCAATCAATCACACTTTTTAGAAAATAATCAAACGTTTCAAAAATGCATTTATTAATCAGTTAAATTTTTATTCATTTATCAATCATTGAACTCTTTGGAATTTATTAATCAAACTTCTTATCATAAATTGTATTCATCTATCAATCAAATTTTTTATATAGAAATCAACTAGTAATGACACTTCTTATTTATCAATCAATTCTTTTTATGTATTTATTGATTAATTAGAACTCATTTATGTTTTATCAGACAATCATACTATCTATTTATCAAGAAACAGATTCAATATTTTATGTGTTTATCAATCAATTAATGTTTGGTGTATTTATCGATCAACAAAACATTTTGTAATAATAAATAATTAAAATTTTTATTTATTTATCGATCAAACTATTTATTTAGTTATCAACTAATCAAATTTCTTGTGTATTTATCAAACATTTTTTTATGTGTTTCAATTAATCAGACAATTTTTTAAGTTTTCATTGATTAATCGAACTTTTTAGATATTTCATTTGATTTAACTTAAAAAAATATCTATGTTTTTTAATCAATGATTCTCTCTTTAATCATCAGGAATCATTTGTATTGAAATTAATAATATGTTAATTATTTGTATTTAGGCAATGAGTTCTCAACTGTGGAAGGAATGGTGTTTAAATGGAATATTGAAGCGGGGAGGACTGGAGCAGAAATACTCAGGTATATTGTAGATTCAGAGAAACAAGGAACCTTTCAATTTATTCCGATGGTTGAGCGACAACTTAACAAAGCCGTGGATATTATTCTATAACCGTTAAAAGTTGTCTTTTTAATGCTATTTTGGGGTAGACATTGTGAGGACAAAAGTAGATCTTAGACTTTGAAGTTTTTCTTTTTTTTAAGCTTATTATTCCCTTTGAAAACAATTTTTTCTCTTCTTTTTATGTTCAAAAAAGTTTTTGACAGACAAATGATACTTTCATGTTAAAATCAAGTTAGACAACTTTTTATACTTTTAAAGGGTAGTATTTTTCTGTATCTTGGATTTTCGGTTCAGCATCCCATTAGAAATTATGATTTGTTAAGGTTTATACCCTGGGCTGATTCTCCCTACAACACTGAGACCGTCCTCGAGACCCTGGAGGCGGAAGGAAAGCAGGGGAATAAGGTAGGACGAAAATTATTATGGTGTGATCTTTAACAAAGCTTTGCCTGAAAAGTTTAAATGAGACCTCAATGTTAGTTTGTGTTCAACGAATAACTTTAATCAAATGACCGCATGTTGTTCTAATATTCAAATCAATACTTTAAGGAAGTGTTTACGAAAAATACGGCGAAAAATAAGAGCGTTTGATCGCTAATAATCTTAGTTCTATCTGTTGCGTCTATAAGGAGAAAATTGTTTAAAACGACTTATGCTGAAGAACGTAGCGTCCATACAAATTCAGAAAGTTGCAACATTCAACTCGGATCGTAAAGTAATCAATTTAATTCCAAACAAATCATTCATATATTACAACCAATAGTCATCGATTATTTTACGAGGCATTCGTATAAAGTTTCTTTGATTTTATTTTTTAAATAATATTTCGCTGGCGCTGGATTTTTGAACATTCCTGGAAAATATGAAAATGTCGTCTTCATTATCAAACTCCTCGAAACGGGAATAATTTTTTTCAAAAGTAACTATCAGATAGTAAAAATTCAAAAAAAAAATATTATGAAATATGATCTTTGCCCCCTTTCATTTTTCGTGAACAGTCCTGTAATGAAAGAAATTTCTTGAAAATTAAAAATTATCTCAAGGTTTTTTTTAATAATACATTTTTAAGGTCTTGTTGGAAGGAATAAAGACAGGTTCAGCTAAGGTGACCGTTAAGCTGGTGGACACCTTAAACCCTGCAGTTCCTGCCACCAGTGAAAGTCTCATGGTTGTAGCAAACCTATTCCTGGTTCCTGCAGTAGCATATATTCTGCCAGGGGCACAACTCAAGGTTAGTTGGTTGCTTGCGTGGTTGTTTGCTTGGTTGCATGTATATAAGAGTTGGTTACTTGGTTGGTTGGAGTGCACATTCCTCCCTAATGTAATCTACTTTATGAAATGATCAGGGGTCAAGGTCAAAGTATTTTGGAATCCTCAAGACTATTGCTTTAACATAGAATAGCACGTACAAATCCAAAAAACTCGTCAATGCAAAGTAATTGCAAAAATATTTCCACATGAAAAGGTTATTTTTATCTTTTCTTGCCCAAACCCCCGTTTGAAAGCCATCCTTTAGTGCTCTAGTATATGAATTTGAATTTTTAAGAGGGGTCGCCAAATTGACGTTTTTCTACATGAGGCGTCCTTTTTTGGGAAAAGAGTTTCATAATGAAAGTTTTTGCTCTTTTTATTTAGATCCAACTAATAATTCTGATAAATTTATTGTTTAGTATGCTGCAAACCAGTTCCGTGGGTCACGTGTACTGCAGGTTGCCCTGCCTTCTGCTCATCATATCCTGGCGGTCAACCAGGACCTGGCCTCACTCAACCAGCAGACAGCTACACTTACAGGACTCAATATTGGAAATGGACAGGTAAAATTTTCTTATGATATTTTACATTGCTAATCTGAAACATGATAAGTTTTTTTTTAATATGGTTTGTATGAAGTGCGGTTGATTGATTTATCAATTGATCAATTGATTGATTGATTGATCAATGTGCGGTTGATAACGTAATCAATTATTTAAGTAATATATTAATTCTTAATTCTTAAATTGATCAATATATGCTTTGACAGAAGACTCCAATGTTTGCCCAATGTTTAAGGAATTGATTAATTGATCAATCCAAAGATTGCAATGTTTTACCTGAAAATGAACGCTAAAGAGGTTGAAATTAATAATTTATTAATGTCAAGTTAAATTTTTGGAGCAGAATGTGGATCGTAAAAGGGCTGTGATTTGTTGATTGATTGATTTTTGGTTAAATGATTAATGTTAAGGTTGAACTACTGGACCAGAATGTGGATGTTGAAGAGATTGTGATTAATCAAATGATTAATGTTAAGGTTGAACTACTGGACCAGAATGTGGATGTTAAAAGAGATTATGATTGATTAATTGATAAATGGGTTGAACTACTGGACCAGAATGTGGATGCTGAAGAGATTGTGATTAATTAATTGATAAATGTTAAGGTTGAACTACTGGACCAGAATGTGGATGTTGAAGAGATTATGATTGATTAATTGATAAATGTTAAGGTTGAACTACTGGACCAGAATGTGGATGTTGAAGAGATTGTGATTAATTAAATGATTAATGTTAAGGTTGAACTACTGGACCAGAATGTGGATGCTGGTGAGATTGTTAAGACTCCAACTGCTGACCTGTTTGTTGTGTCTCCTGCCCGTCTTGAGATATCTTGTCTTCCATTCAAGGAATACTAATTGCTCTCATTATTATTCCCAGTGAGACGCTAAAGCTATAGAGCTTAATGATATTTTCCCCCAAAGAGTTTTATTCGCTATATTGGGAAAATAAATGATTTATTTTTAAAGTTTTAAGTATCAAAAAAGGATTTTTTAAAAACTTGCCTTTTGATATCCAATTTTTCATTTTCCCCCTCAGATCAACAAAATTCATTCTTCCTCCCCCTCTCAAGCCCCTGTGATATTATCCAAGGGAATTTTAAGGGGGTTAGGGTTAAAATCAACCTTAGTAAGAACATCCTTTTCGGGTAAATTGACACTCCTTATGTTCTATACATGTAACTCTGCCTGACAATCTTAAAGAAAGGAAAAGATAAAGGTAAACTAAAAATAGGAGAAAAGGATCAGGGTTTGCATTTCAACTGAGTCTAAACCATAGTTTGAACTTGAGAAGTCTTCAATTCTTTCACCTCCTGTAAATAAATACACATTTTGAGAACATATTTGATATAGTCATGGTCTGTGCTTGTAGGACACCCATATCAACTGCAGGCAACAAATATATAAGTCTGTAGTTGGCCACTAACCATATTAAGTAATCAGGAATTTATTTACATTCCTAAGCTTTTCACTTCTTTTCTTGATTCAAATATTTTTTCAGTCCTTCCTCTAAAAAACTTCTATATAATTTTTTCTTCAATATATTTGTTCGATGAACTAGGTTGATATATTCGACAAGGATGGAAATAAGGTTTTCCTCAGTGATAACATCGTTATTGACTTAGGCAAGCTTGGAAGAACATAAAAACTTCTCAATTGATCATTAGTTTCACTTAGACTGTTAACTTAAAACTTGTGGATAACATGTAAGAATAGATTAGCTAAATATTGCCCTCTTTACTATGCTTCCAATCCTATGCTTGAATTCAGTGTATGACCAGAGTTATTTTAAAATAACCAACAGTGTAGACAATGGAACATTTCATGATATAGTTCCTGGCCTGGCCGGTCAAACTGAAGTCACAGCTATTCTCAGGTAAATATAAAACCGTCATCACATAGGGTTATCAATTGTTCTGGTTCGTTCTTTAAACTTAAAATAAAACGTCCAATATTTCAAAACTGTTCTGTTTTGGCAATATTTTTATCCTAAAAGTAAAAAAAAAACGATCCAACAAACTATTTTTTTAACACTTTTTGGGATTCGTTTTTGGTTTCGTTTTTTCCAGTGATTTCTCTCAAGTACAAAATGTTGCAGTGTAAGAAAAGTAGATCTTTAGAATAAATAGAATAAATTATACTTACTTGTGAGCCTTTAAAAAGAAAAATAAACTTGCTGCTTATCACTGCAGAGACTTACGTAGGTCTAAGGTCCACTTTACACAGTTATTTTTTTTCTCATGAACAAATTCAGGCCTCTTATAGATTTCATAATGCAAAATCATCTTGTCACATTTTTAACTGAAATATCCTTTCACTCTGATATAAATAGTAAATACTTGTCAACGATTACTAATAAATCAAAATTTTTATAATATGCATGATGATTGTAATATAGGGGTGTAAACGTGGATGGAAAGCTGGTCCCTTTAACTGCCCCTATATCTGCCTCTGGCACCCTTGAAATATTTGATGGAATGACCCTGGATCCAGCTCATGTTGTCATCCCTTGGGATCCTACCAAAGGTATTAATCTCGTTTAAATCTATCTAAATGGATTCCTACATGAAACACGGTGTACGCTGTGTCCGGAGTGAACGCAATTCAGCTGATGCGTTACTTACAGTGTCCCTTCACATTACCGAATATTTCAGATTAAAAACGGTTTAAAAAAATTCGAAAGAAAATATTCATCTTATTTTTAAAACTTAAAAAAACTTGCAAATATATTGTTGTAACTATCAAAAGAATTTTTGTATTTAAATGAGAATAAGTCAGGCAAGCTTGATAAGTCAAAAGTGTTAAGGGTACTGTTGTGAATTGGGTATTGCCGTTCAATGAAGGGTCACTTGAAGTCAAAAGTCCATTTAACATTTTATAAAAATAATGTTATTTTTTTTCTCACTTATTTTCTTATTTGTCCCAGTCTTAGTCGGCCAATTAGACTGAATGACTAAAATTTGTTTTAGGTGCTAGTTATTCCATGCAATATAAGGTTAAAGGAGGATCTGCACCATACATTTGGGCATCATCTAACAATAAGATTGGTAAGTAGGATCTTTTTGGTTTAATGTTCATTTTTTAATGTTTTTTCTAAATATTCATCATTCACCCTCATTTTCTTATTTTCTCTCAAAGGTTAAAAACTATCACAACCAAATATTTAGAGAATTCCCAAAAACTATCATTTTTTCTCTTTTTTTAGGAACTGTCAGCCAACTTGGAGTTGGTAGTTTGCTGAGTAGTAGTATTGGAGATTCCAAGATATCAGCTGCAATGACTAGAGCCCCGCATAACAAAGCCCAGGTTAGAATTTTCTAGGTCTTCTATTTATACTTTGCTTGTGCACTGAAAAATATTAATGAAGCCGCGAACCTTATTGTGGTTGTTGTATATTTGCCCTAAAAGCCTAGTTTAATAACAATTCGAAATTTTCCCGCTCTGTTTTGATTTGAGGATAAGTTAATGAATAATTTGTTCTTCTAGGGAACCGTGTCTGTAGAACCTGCTGTATCCTTGAGCTTTTTGGATTCTGAACTTGAGTTTCTGGTTGGTTCGGAGATAGTTCTTCCAGTTGGACTTTTTCACTCAAACAAACAGATATTCACAAGGTTATTGGGAATTTTTACAAATCAATAATAAATATATACAAATATATGATATCCCTTTCTCTCCTTTTCCAGTTTCCATCCTAATGGTTTTGTATTCTACCGTATCTCCTGTATTCTGCATCCTACTCCGTTCTGTAATCCTGGCATGCTGTGCAGCTGTAGCCTAATGTATAACTGTATTATGTAACATGTGTAGTGTGTAGTGTGTATTCCTGGCATGCTGTGCAGCTGTAGCCTGATGTATACCTGTATTATGTAACATGTGTAGTGTGTAGTGTGTATTCCTGGCATGCTGTGCAGCTGTAGCCTAATGTATACCTGTATTATGTAACATGTGTAGTGTGTATTCCTGGCATGCTGTGCAGCTGTAGCCTGATGTATACCTGTATTATGTAACATGTGTAGTGTGTAGTGTGTATTCCTGGCATGCTGTGCAGCTGTAGCCTAATGTATACCTGTATTATGTAACATGTGTAGTGTGTATTCCTGGCATGCTGTGCAGCTGTAGCCTGATGTATACCTGTATTATGTAACATGTGTAGTGTGTATTCCTGGCATACTGTGCAGCTGTAGCCTAATGTATACCTGTATTATCTAACATGTGTAGTGTATAGTGTGTATTCCTGGCATGCTGTGCAGCTGTAGCCTAATGTATACCTGTATTATGTAACATGTGTATTGTGTATCCTTTTTTTTCTGTATCTTACGCTTTCCCTTGTATTAAGTATCTGACTGAACCCCTTTATTCCTTATTCTACTCTTTCCCTTGTATTAAGTATCTGACTGAACCCCTTTATTCCTTATTCTACTCTTTCCCTTGTATTAAGTATCTGACTGAACCCCTTTATTCCTTCTTTCCCTTGTATTAAGTATCTGACTGAACCCCTTTATTCCTTATTCTACTCTTTCCCTTGTATTAAGTATCTGACTGAACCCCTTTATTCCTTATTCTACTCTTTCCCTTGTATTAAGTATCTGACTGAACACCTTTATTCCTTATTCTACTCTTTCTCTTGTATTAAGTATCTGATTGAACCCCTTTATTCCTTATTCTACTCTTTCTCTTGTATTATTTACCCTAATGTTTCATATATATTCCCCGTTTTAAGTACCTTACTGTATCCCCTATATTCTTTCATCGTACTCTATCTTACATATTCTGCATCCTATTGTGTATCGGTCGTATCCTTTATACTACTGTATTTCTTGCATTTTTTATCCCTCTGTAACCCCTGTATCCTGTATCTTCTGTATTATATGTGACAAGGTTCCGTATTCTATAAAAGTAACAGATTCTACAGTATTCTCTACCCAACTACAATCATCTGTATCCTCTGTATATATTATATGTCTAGATGTGACAAGGTTCCGTATTCTATAAATGTATCGGATTCTACAGTATTCTCAACCCAGCTACAATCATCTGTATCCTCTGTATATATTATATATCTAGATGTGACAAGGTTCCGTATTCTATAAATGTATCGGATTCTACAGTATTCTCAACCCAGCTACAATCATCTGCCAACCAAGGCTGCGCTTCACTAAAAATAGTTGGGAGTAAACTCTCACACACTAAGGTAACTTTGAAACTTTCTCACTAAAGGAATTGAGTCGTTGCCTCAAACTCTGATTTTCTAATCCCTTTATTAGTGCAACCCAATGTAGGATACATTACCTTAAACTTTGAATTCTGCTTTACATAATAATCTAAATTTAAACAATCCAAGGTTTGCACCATCAGGTTGGAAATATATAGGGATGAGAAAACTTGTTTGTGGCAAAGACTCAATTCCTTGGTGAACAATTTCCTTTTTTTTAAAAAGAAGAAAATATTTTTTTTCGGGGAAGGGGATGGGGGCGTACAACCCCAAGTTGAAACGTTTTAAATTAATCAAATACCAAAAAATCTCAAAACTGGTCATTTTCAGTATTTTATGAGGAAAGTGTTTTTATTGATTTAATTTTCAGAATTACATAATTTCGGATGATGTCGAAGGGAAAGGGCGGGTTTTTATTTTTACTAAGCAGAAAAAAGTCCACTTAATGAAATAGCAATGTAAAATTTGTCTAGGTGAGTATTGGGTTCTCCTATGCTATGCCTGAATCCAAGAAGAAGATTGTTCTGGAAGATACTAAAACCGTCGCTACATACAGGTCTGCGTTACTATTTTTAAGGATTTGAAATCATATCAGTGCTTTAGACCGTTATTAAGTTCTAATCCGTATCCGTGGAGGCAATGGAGCCAATGTAACGTTTTTCAGCTAAATAATAATTTCTGGAATATTATTTAACATTTTTCATTGAGAGATCATAGGGGGATAACCAATCACCCATTATTGGGCTGGACTTGAGGTTGATTTTTTACATATTTTGGTTGAAATTGTTTTCCTTGGATCCGGATCTGGGGAACACAAAAACACTACTTTCAAGTTAATTTAGATCTAAGTCCTTAAAAGATAATTATTTATATTTGCTGCAGTCCCCTGTCTCACATATTTCCTGCCTCTGGTGAAACTGTCATTGCTGTTGAGAGTACTGTTCAGGTAAATTGTTCGCCAAAACCAAACCCCCCCCCCCCCCCCCCCCCCCCCCCCCGGATAAAAAAAATCACTAATCAACTCTTATCAGCTAGGATAGGGTTCTTCCCAGAACCGATTTGGGTCACGATATCTTGTCTAACCGTTTTGAATTTGAAGAGCGTTGTTAAAATGTAAAAAATCGGCCAATTTTTGGGGGCAACGCTTAATGCTTTAGAATAGAGAAGTGTTCAGAAGACATAAAATTTAATTTAATATGGTTTCTGTTTATTTTTAATTTAGAAAAACTGGTTTTTTTATATGAGAAAAAAAAGAGTTGTCAAAATCTTACTCACTCCCTATTTTAGTTTTGATTCATGTTCAGTAAGATATTTTATTTATAGATAGTTTGGACCGGAGGTCCTCAACCTTGGCCCCTGGACCCCTCAAACCATTTCAGGACTCTTGGTAAAGATCAGGTTGGGAAAAAATAAATCAATAAATTAAAAGATATCGTTAAAGATGGCATCATGTTTAAATTTAAATTAATGTTAATGAGTACATCATTATTTAATTCAAATTGATCCAAAGGTACACAAGTGAACAACACATGGTAATTTACCAAAATATAACTAATGTAATATTGTGTAAATTAAGTTGCATTTGTAAAATTATTGATAAGCTGTTGTTTACAACTAAAAATATTTGAATCTTAAAAAATAAATCATTAAAAATGGAAAGAAAACATACTTTTAATGATTATAGGAAAACATGGTACGTGTGAGTACAGTGAAGGAGGGAGGTGGAGTTTATGTGTATAAAGTTGAATGTTTAGCTCTTGGAGAAACTTCAGTTACTCTTCGGCAAGTAGCTTTAGTTTTTTCCCATTGATCCCTCCATTTAACACATTTTCTAAGACCTACTTCACTAAGTTATGGAGTTGGTACAAAACGCTGATTATCAAAACGTCGAATAATATCTTCGATGATACAAAACGTCGGCAAAATTTTTAGACGATTTGTAGCAGTCGACGTTTTGTAGTATTTGACTATTTGTAATTTCGACATTTTGTATCATCGAGGTTTTGTACCTACTTCTATAGTAAAGTACAGGGACCCCACGGAGGATGAGTCGCAAATAATGATTTAAAAACTTACGGTATTCTATTCAACCTGTGGTATGTGTTTTTTTTTATAGTTCACTTTAGCCATAATCATAAAGACCAGGGCAAGTGACTGAGCTCAACCCTATTTTTCATTGTATTATAGTCTACAGGTCATGGTACTTTGTCTGTAGGTTGATTGTTAATAATAATAACATTATATAATTTCACTCACTTTTTAAAGATTTTTGGAAAAAGATTTTTTGATGTACCGTTCAAACCAAACTAGGCCAAGCCCATGGGATCTCATTTAATGAATAGCAAGAAATACAACTACTTATCTAGTAAACTTCAGCCAAACAAGAGAATTCGTTTACTATTACACTATTTATTATTTCCAACATATTTAAACTAATTATTGTGTTTTAGTGTTGGAAACCGACCTAGTAGTACACTTCCTAAACCTGAAGTCAGCACCTCCACTGTTAAGGTATAGTTGGTAACCTAGTAGTACACTTCCTAAACCTGAAGTCAGCACCTCCACTGTTAAGGTATAGTTGGTAACCTAGTAGTACACTTCCTAAACCTGAAGTCAGCACCTCCACTGTTAAGGTATAGTTGGTAACCTAGTAGTATACTTCCTAAGCCTGTAGTCAGCACCTCCACTGTAAAGGTATAGTTGGAAACCTAGTAGTACACTTCCTAAACCTGTAGTCAGCACCTCCACTGTAAAGGTATAGTTGGAAACCTAGTAGTACACTTCCTAAACCTGTAGTCAGCACCTCCACTGTAAAGGTATATTTGGAAACCTAGTAGTACACTTCCTAAACCTGTAGTCAGCACCTCCACTGTAAAGGTATAGTTGGTAACCTAGTAGTACACTTCCTAAACCTGTAGTCAGCACTTCCACTGTAAAGGTATAGTTGAACATTTCAACTCTCAATTTGAACGGTTGCAACTAGAAAAACAAGAAAAATTACCCGGACCTGTAATTTCAAGTGTAAGTGATTGTGGGACGAATGAATAGTGAACTCGTGGAAAAGAAGTTTAAGCTTGAGATTGTCATCCTCGTCCAATTCTTGAGCTGTTTCTGACCAGGAGGCTGTGTTTTCGGCCATGGTTCTTTTCTTGTCTGGGGTCACCACTTTAGAAGTACATTTATTGCTTATAGATATAATTACATGATAAATAACGAGTGTGTAAAAGGAAAGAAAGTTGAGAAGGTCTTCTCCGGTTCCAGGATCTGACACAACTGATTTGCGGATTTCATAATCCTCTTTCGGGGATTTCATATCCTCTACATCAGACTGATTTGCGGATTTCATAATCCTCTTTCGGGGATTTCATATCCTCTACACTGTCCACATTTGTTGTTTCTCCCTTATCTTTTTAAGTATTTTAAAGTTTTTAACAATGTTGTTTTTTCATTAATTCTGATAACTGCCGATTCTAATTATTGATTCATATTTATTCTTTTTAGATAATTTGTGGAACCCCCGCCAGTATTCATCTTACCCCTGAGATACACGGACCTACTGGTCTACCCCCTTGCCCAGCTAGTGCTAGGGCCGGTCGGATTGCAACCCAGGCATACAGGTAAATTTCGTTTTCATTATAACCAGCATATTTTAAAATAATAATTTTTCCATGTTAAAAATTTATTAAAAAAAACTGTGAAGGTAACTTTAAAAAATCCTCTTTTAGAAAGGGTGGCATGTACGATATACAATGTTACCCCGGTAACCTTTTTTTAAGTTACAATAAGGAAGACATCAGTCTTGTCTCTGCCGCATAAAGAAAGTTACTTGTGAGAAACCACAAAAAAGGGCGAAGGTTAAAACGGTACAGTTTGGAATTGGACATACAGTTTTGTAATTAAAGGGTCACTTCAAATGTATTGTACAGTCCCTTTAATATAAAAAAAAAACATTAATTGTAAATTATTTTAGAAATCTTGATATTGGCGTCACGATAAAAGACGGCCAGGGACGAATCTTTGACGGAGTTGAAAGTGTTACTTTAGACTGGAAGCTATCAGACAATGCCTTGGCTAAACTAGGAAGTAGCACGGGAGTTCTCAGGACAAAACAGGTTTTTATTGTATTTTTAGTTAGGAATTCAACCATAGTTGAATGGAATGTAATTGAAAAATTCATTTATGAACCATTCCTTTAGTTTTCAGAAAATTTGGCTTATATGTTAAGAACGATCACGATAATTTGATTAGTCCGTGGGTCTGCGCATTGCACAAGATGAAGATTAATTCTTGATTACGAGATTCGCAACATTTAACCTTTACCTCCTCTGCTCTTTGTTTTGAAATTCGAAAATAGTAAAAACAAAAGGCTTAATATTTTCTTAATTTTGCTCATTATATTAAAATATAAAGGTAAGTCCTCAAAAATTACTCTTTTAGNAATTTATACTTAATCTACGCAATCAATTCTAAACCCCCTATATTGGAAACTTGATCTCTCCCAGGTTGACTGGCTGGTGCAGCCTGCCCGCCCCTATCAGACCCTGCTGGTCAACTCTAGAACTGGTAACCTGGACGTGTTGGTGAGCCTACCCAAGACCGGGTTCCTGTCCAGCTCCGCCGGGTCGGACCAGATCCTACTCAACCTGGTCCAGGATGCAGGGATCGAACCTGAATCCGTCACCATCTTTCATCATAATAAGAAGCAGGTACTTAAAGGGATTTTCCAGTGACTTTCATTTATAGACTGGATTGTACGATCCACATTGTGCCCATGAAAAGCTTTGTCTGATCAAGTATGAAAAAGATATCCATAAACCTAACGAATTATATATTTGGCGCGAAATTCAAAAATGTTTTCTGATTTTTAGGCAGTTGCTGCTGCAGTTCAAGGAAGCGGATATTTTAAACTTTACGTTAAACATGAAGGTATACTTTAGCTTATTTCAACCTTATTTGGATTGTTTTTCATTGATTATTTAGTCTTTACAGAGCCTTTTATTTTAAACTGCTTTTTAACACTTAGTGAACTTGATTTACTAGCAATTTTCTTTTGTTTTCGTAATAGTTCAAAATTTACAAAACTTATATAGTTTATCGCTTTGGCAAAACCTTCAGTGTTTACCAAAAAATAGTGTCGAATGAAGACGACAATTATTCCACTGTTTTCTGTTTAGCACTGTACATGCTACCCAACATGTATAAGGGGGTTGGAACAATACATTTTATCTCTGTGTCAAAAAACCTTTTAAAACTTTCATTTTTTAACTTGGTTGTTGTTCAGGTCTTGCAGTTGCAAACTACCAGCCTGAAAACCGGAGTATAAGTGTAACACCAACCCAGCCCGGGACTACAAATATTATTTTAAAGGTTTTATTTCATTTTTTTCTGTATTTATTAAGTATTCACCTTTCATCATTTTCAGGTTTTTATTGTCAGATCAAGTAAGATTTTAAAAAGTTTAATTAAATGGTTAATATTTTTTTATTGTTAATATAATATTTAGGGTTACTCAGTACTCATTACTGAAAGCTTTTTTACTTATACAAGATAGATAGATATTACTATTGATTGTATATATTTCAGTCAAATACTGACAGCGTTTCTTTAAAATTGAGTTTTAGGGATTTCATATAAGGCCTTATTTAATTGGCAAACTCGTATCTTTTTTAAAAATGCTAATTTTCAAAACATATTTGAGGTTTTTTTAAAATATGAAATATTTTTGAAATATATTGGGGTTTTTTATAATGTTATAGTTTTGCACTTTGACTTTTTTCTCCATAAATGATAAACATTTATGATTCATCTCAAAAATACATAATCATTGTTCAATAATCATGATATTCGATATCTTTCAACAACAGTATTTGAAATTATAAAAAAAAAATGTGTTCAGGATCTCTGTCTATCTGCTGAGAAGGTTGCTCAGACGTCCTTGACCATCAGAGGTGTGGTTAGAGTTGAACTGGATGTTATTGACAAAATCGAACAGGTTAATTCGCGTCACTTCGTTTTGTTTTCAGTACTTTCGTTTTCACACTCATATTATAAGTATTTAACTTTTTTGTAGATAATAAAGTAACCTCATAAACTTGGATAGAATATTTGTTGTCAATTAATTGAGATTCATGAACATGAAATGAGCTTGAATATATTTTGTTGACATCAATATGTGCTTTTTGAGCATAGTATGAACTTATATAACTTTTTAATTGATGAAAGTGAGCTTCAAGAAAATAATAGAAACTATAATGGATGTTTGTAATAATCAATGTAAGTTAGATTAGACTACAATATAAAGGGGATAGTGGAGATGTCCTATTTGATGAGGGTGGGGGTCCCTGCCTCCTTTTTTGAATCGAATCTTCCAATTTTTTGGCCGCCTGCTTACTTATCGTTCGAATTTCTTAAATTAAATCAAATTTAATTTTATTGACCTCGAATGACCTCCAAAATGAAAATGTTTTTACATATGATATCAAACGAAAGCAAGGAACCCAGGGAAGCCATAGTTGAAAGATTTTTATTTGAGGTCATTAAAGGTCATTAAAATTCAATTTTATTTTATTTAAGGAAATTCGAAAAATAATAAGGCGTGGGCTCAGTAACATTTTGCCTAGTACACTTTCGCCTAGTACATGTTCGCCTAGTTCAAGTTTGCCTAGACACAGTTTGCCTAGACAACATTTCACCTAGATAAGATTAGAGAGTAATTTTCGCCTAGATTAACATTCAAATTATGTTTAACCAGCTTTTGGAACAAAAAATACGCAATTTTTATTGTAAAAATTTCACAACTTTTTTTTGAAGTGTAAATCATTCAGTTTTCTACTGACATTGATGTTGACATGAATTCCTTAATTCAGACAGGGAAAACCAAACTAGGCAGACCAGCCATAATTGATAATCAACATTTCTCATATGTCTCTAATGGACCTGTGTACAGTCCCAAATGTTTGGCACATTCAGGACCAGTTTTTCAAACAAGATGTTGATGCAAGACGCTCATTTCTTTCTAATTCAGTTGGCCAGGATATTGCTGATAATACAGGCAGAAAGCAGAGAGCCAAGATGCAAAACAGAGGGTTAAACTGGTGGTGGAAGCTTTTGCTACAATGCCTAAAACCGATTATCTGAAAATGCTGGCTCATGATCTCCAGCGAACTAGAGCTCGGAGAATCATTGTCCTTGAGGATCATGATTCTTTGACTATAGGTTGAATGTTAATAATAATAATAATAGTGCCCTTTAAGAAAAAATTGTAAACATTATTATAATACATTTTTTTTCTTTTAATTGAATTTCTTGAGAAAAAAGAGGAACTTTAGAAATTTTTGAAGAAAAAAATAGTGAATTTATCTAGGCGAAAATTACCTTCTAATGTTATCTAGGCAAAATGTTATCTAGGCGAAATGTTATCTAGGCAAAATGTTATCTAGGCAAAATGTTATCTAGGCGAAATGTTGTCTTAGCAAACTGTGTTCAGGCAAAATGTTACCTAGGCAAAAAGTTAGTAGGCGAAAGTGTACTAGGCGAACTTGTACAAGGCAAAATGTTACTGAGCCAAAAAATGTGAAGATTTGAACCAAAAATGAAGGCAGGGATCCCCCCCCCCCCTCATCAAGGACATCTCCACCGTCCCCTTTAGATAGATTTTTTAAATTTAATTAGTTTCATAAATATATTATGAGCTCTAGATTTATTGATATAATTTGAAGTTGGATCGATTTATTTTTGTGAAAAAAGTAGTTTCATGAACGCAATTGAAACCTGAATAAAATCCAAGTAAATTTCATAATTATAACTATATAAATGTAGAAATAAATAAAAGGTCAACCATCATTCCTTGAAAATCAAGGCCGAGTCCTCTTCAAATATAACCTTGATAGATTTGATTTTTAATGAATGTTAATGAATAAATGATGATTAGGGTAAAGAAGTTACTGGAACTGTGCGTCTGTATGCTGCTAACAACAAGGTAAATTAAAAATTATGTTTATATATTTAGAATAAGTTTTATCAGCCTTTGCAATGGATATGTGAAGGACTTTAACAGAAAGATACAACTAATGATTTGCATAATATGTAGATCATCTAATATTATTGTAAAACTTCGATTTCTTAACTTTAAAATTTCTTCATTATTTTCACAACGTTGCCAGAATTCGTAAAAGTTTTAATAAGCCATCTTTCCAGTGCAGTGCTAACAAAAAAAAATTTCAGATTACTTTCTAAACGATGAAACCAATTTTTCTAAAAATTATTTTAATATTGTAGCTTCTTGAAGACGATATTCTGCAGTACGTTTCACTTTCTCTGACAACTCCTGCGGATATTGTCAGGTAAATTGCTTTTTACCCGGATCCGGATTATTTTGGTCTCCTGGACCCGGATCCGGAAAAAAATGCGCATTCACTGGGTTAAGGTGATAAATCTGGTTTATATCCAGCTTTCTCTGGATGTAATGTTGTAATATTGTAGTGCTGGTGACGTAACTGGGTTATCTCCTGTTATCTCTAAATAGAAAAATTGTAACGTTGTAATATTTTAGTGTTTGTGAAGTAACAGGGTTATCTCCTGTTATCTCTGGATATAATATTGTAATATTGTAGTGTCGGTGACGTAACTGGGTTATCTCCTGTTATCTCTGGATCTAAACTTGGAATTACAACAGTCACAGCAACCGTCTTATATCATGGAATTCAGGTAAATTTCTTGTTGTTCTTTTGAATGAGTAAATGTCCCCTATTTGATTACAGAAATAGATTGTTATATACTCATAAGCCTAGTCGATATATATATTTATCTGTATAAAATGCAGGGTGGCCAAAATGTACGGATTGTACGGATTGATTTTTTTTAACCCTAAAATTGTACGGATTGTACGAATTGTACGGATTTGTTTTCAAATTGTACGGATTGTACGGATTTTTATCCTGGAAAATACACCGTTTTTTTAAATTTTCACTCATTTCAGCAAATTTTTCATGAAAATAAAAAAAATTCTCGTCAAAATGAAGTTAGTTTAACTTATTTCTGCATTCTAAATAATATTAGATTGATTGTATCCTGTATCCTGTATCCTATATCCAGTATCTTGTATCCAGTACCTTGTATCCAGTATCTTGTATCCTGTATCCAGTATCTTGTATTCAGTATCCAGTATCCTGTACCCAGTATCATGTACCCAGTATCATGTACCTAGTATCATGTACCCGGTATCCTGTACCCAGTATCCTGTACACTTATCATGTACCCAGTATCCAGTATCCTGTACCCAGTATCTTGTACCCATTATCATGTACCCAGTATATAGTACCCAGTATCCTGTATCCAGTATCCAGTTTTCAGTACCCTGTATCCTGTATCCAGTATCTTGTATCCTGTATCCTGTATCCAGTATCTTGCATCCAGTATCCTGTATCATGTACCCAGTATCCAGTATCCTGTATCCTGTATCATGTACCCTGTATCATGTATCCAGTATCCAGTATCATGCACCTAGTATCATGTACCCAGTATTTAGTTTGTATATATGTACGAAGCCAATTTTTTACAGATTGATTCTTGCTGAAGAAGTTTAAACCCTCTTACATGAACTGAACACAAAAGACAATGAATGAAAAATTGAATTTTAATGTGTTTTTTTTTCAAAAATGGGATTTTTTTCGAAAATTGTACTGATTGTACAGATTTTTTTAAAAAATGTACGGATTTTTAAAGAAATGTACGGATTGGTTTAAAAAAATGTACGGATTTTTAAAAAAAAATTGTACGAATTGTTTCGAAAATTGTATGGATTGTACGGATTTCTTCTGAAAATGTACGGATCTTTGTACGGATGTGTTCAAAAAAGTTTTGGCCACCCTGAAAATGCTTTCGTTGTGAATTTAACATGCCACTCTATAAATGGAGGGTCACTTTACGCCTCCATTCCTTTTAAGTACCCTGACAATTTCATAAATAATAAAGTGTTGTAAATGTCATTTTTGACATGCTCAAAGGGACTGTAATGGAAAAATGAAAGGGGGTATCGCCTGAAATATAAGCATTTCTATCTGATGTTCCTGTCTTGAGAAATTGATATAACCTGTGTTAAATGTATTCGAAAATATATTTATAATTTTGTATAAAATTAGCAGGTTTAAACAGATCGTATTTAGCAAATAAGCAACCAATTTGAAAACAACGATGTTCCAGGGGAACCTTAAAAACTTAGGTTTGCTCCTATTATTTTTTTTCAATTTAATAACTTTTTATTTTTAATAGAAATAATTGACAATATATTACGTCCGTATCATGTGACCTGAATTCCTACCAATGGCAGTGCAGTATCATTATTACTTGTCTCCGTCTGAATCACTGCACTGCCGTTTGTGGGAGTTATGGCCATGCACGTGATATGGACGAATGAATAATATATTATCAATAATTATTAAAAGCAAATAATAATAGAAAATCAAACCTGCAATATGATCTGTTTTAACCTACAATTTTATACAAGAAATCTTCTTCTAAATTTCAGATAGAACTCTCATGGGTCTCAATCAACTTCTAAAATGCTTAGGTTTCAGGCTAAACCCTTTTTTCCTTTATAGTCTCTTTCATGCCACACATCCTGAAAAATAATTTGGTTCCAATTTTATTTTCAGGTTTCCAGTTCTCCTGCTAGTATCGAAGTGTTTCCACCCTTGAGAATCGAACCCACGAATATTACATTAATAATAGGAGCCGCATTCCAGGTTAGCATACAATTGTCAGCTAAATGTTTTCCAAGTTAAAAATAATTGGTTGGTTGATAAATATTTACCAATGAAGATATTCAGTCATTAAATAATCCGTCCCTTTTTGTAGTTTTTTGTTTTTGCTATCAATATCAAATTCAAGCTTTCACTTGTTTCAGTAATATTAAGTGCTTGAAACATTATTTTTCTAATATATCGTTTTTAAAAATAACGTCATATTTACATTTTTTATAAATTTATTTTGTTCTAATTTATACAGAAATTAAATTATCTTCCACTGCACTGATATCAATCAGTTATCTGCGGGGGAGGGGTGGGGGGCTAGTTAGGCAACTCGTGTAGCCAGCCGATCATCTGGACACTTGACCTCTCTGTGCTTCTGAGAGTGAATGCTTACATTATCCTTTTCCTTGGCACATGGTCCGCAGCAGCAGAGGTCACAGCATAACCGCCCGAACACCAGGAATACCAAGGTTAACACAGCAACAACAAACCCGACGAAGATGGACACGATGGTGATGTTGTAGACGTGGATGTTGCAGTCAAACACCTTGTCCTCCTCGGCTGGTTCCTGTCCGGATAGATTCTCGAATCCTTTCTTGATACTTTCTCCTACTCCCCCCAGGCTTTGCTCTATCTTGTAGAATGGACTTTTGGGAACATTGTTGAGAACGTAGATGAGTCCAACTAGGGACCAGGCTGTGGCCAGGGCGACCAGGACACAGTCGTAGATTACGAGGAACGTAAACTGTAGGATTTTCCCGCCAACCTTACAACAATCCTGGTCCTGGGTAAACATTGAGCAGGAGTCACAGACTCGTTCTAAAATAGAAATATTTATATTGAAAGAACGGGTATGATTAGGATAAATTCCTGCAGGGGGATTTTTCAAATAAAAAATCATTGTTAATATACCTTTTTTCTAAAATTTTATAAGCAAGAAGATTAAGACGAATAGAATAATTGAAAACGGAAGTGGGCTTAGGTAGTGTTACTGTTAATCGTTTGGTTCGTTTGGTTGGTTCGCATTTTTTTCTCTTTTGGTTAAACGTATTCTAAATCGTTAAATCTAAACATTTTTTTGTTTTTTCACGATGCCAAATTTTGACCCTTAGAAACATGTGCATTGTAAATAACGGTCCAAAACGATTAGCAGAACTAGGTTTAGGTTTTAAATTGATCTTTTAGAAACAATTTTAAGTTCAAGTCAAGATGTTGTAAAGTTTACCTAGAATAGTTCTGAGCGCAATACAGAGAATAACCAGAACTCCACCAACCAGTAGAAACACAGGTAAACGATCTGCTGACATGCATCCATTCGGCACGCCGTCCTGCTCAATGTTAAGAGACCCAAAGACGATCATGACGATGCCGAAGATGACGAGGGGGAGCTTGAACGCTGTCTCAAGGATCAGCTTTGTTCTCAACTTCATTGTCATCTTGACTAAAGTAGTGTTGATTCTTCAAGGTTTACTTGATAACTGATTCTATAGTTTCGAATTAGTTCTGATGAAAACTAGGTTTCAGGTTGACCGCTGGTAGTCTGCAGCCTGTGACGCAGAAAATTAAACGCAATTCCATCACAATATTATGAACTGCGTCATGAAAATACCTAGAACTACGTAATATTATCATGTTTCCGGTTTTCTAAGGCGTAGATTGGGAATTGGCGAGGGGTGAGGGGGGGGGGGAAGTAATTCATAACAAAATATTGACTATGTTGTATTGAATATATCCAATAAATATCTAAATGATAAGTTCCTCACGGTTTTTTTAAAGACCCGTTCGTTTTAACATTCATATCATGAAGAAAAGTATGAAAACGAATCTATCAGCATTTTTCTTTTAATAAACTATTTTTTAAATTAGAATAATGTATCAAAACAACTTACATTGTATAAAGAAAAGGTTATCGTACTTATTTTTTCGAACAATACGATTCACATAAGCGAAAAATGTCTCTAATAGGATATCGTACTTAATTCTAACGATACGATTCACATGAGAGAAAAACGTCTCTAATTAAGGAAATATTGAAGTTATAAGAAAAATCAAGCCATCTTGTATTTCAGGTTTTAACCACTGGTGGTCCTACAGACGCCCTCATTCAGTATTTTCTCAGGTTTGGAACAATTTAGCCAATGGATTTATAATAGAAAATGTTGATCATCAAACTTTTATGAGAAAAAAATGCAGAATATTCTAATATACTTAGCGCTCAATTTCCTATTAACAATTTTAGATTTGAATTGTTGCACTGGAAGTGATCATTTTTAATTATTCTCGAATTTTTCCATTGAAATTGGTGGATTTACAAAAATAATTTGTACACATCCCAAATCTGTTGAACTCGTTGAACCTTATCCTGGGTCATAATGTAAATTGTGAGTTGCCTTTAAAAAGATCGAGCGCGTCCGTTAAGTTGTTATGACTTGACGTTTGCTAGATACAAAGATCAACGTTTAAAATATGAACAATTTTTTCTAAATATAATTTTAGTGATGAAGATATCGGGGTAGTGAGCTCTGACGGCCTAGTTACTGCTGGAACCCTTGGTTCTACTAAGCTTATAGGTAAACCCATAGACATTTGCTGTACGCTGAATGCTATGTATATTTATATATTATTAATATATAATATATGTACAATGAAATAAGTCTAAATTTATTTTTTTACAGAATAAATGTAGTAAATGTAATTAAGGAATATATCAATATATCATTAAGGTGTCCAATTTAATTGAGACTCTAGATAATAAAAACGCTTTTAAACTATCAGTTTTAAATTTACGCTCGGTGATTCAATTTTAACAAATTTCATTAGAAACACTAGCTCCAAACGCAGTCTCGATGCATGTATAAAAATATTTTTTTAGGGGAAAACTTGACTTATAATTGGCATGGTAGTTTTTGATATATAATTTACCAAAAAGCAATTTCATTCACTCCTCTTTCATGTCCTTAATCTTCTTCATGATGAGAATTCTTCAAAACATTGAAACTAATTTGTTTCCAGAGCACTGGTGGATTTTCTATTTTATAAGCTGTTAAAAAGTCTCAATTTATAGTGGACAACCTTTAGGGTATAAATAAAGAAANATTTTAGTCTCTTACTTAAATACAATACACTTCAGTCTCTTATTTAAATATCATACCATAAGAAAATCCCTATATACGCCCTTAAATTAATGTCTAAATTTCGGAACAAAAAATTTGTTGACGCATAAATTCAAATCTTAATTTTATTTGTTTTGATTTTTTATTTATATAGGTCGAGCTGTTGGTAAGTTAAGCTCTGGTGTTGATGTAGAGTACACGAGGGATTCTGTTTTAGTTCACGTGGTTCCACTCTCCGCTATCAGGTAGAAACCAATAACAGAGATTAAATAATTTGTTAATTGTTCACATTTTTTCCAAATATGCAGAATATTTGAATTATAGCTTTGTTTTATTAAGCTGAAAATATGTTTTTGTAAAAAATATCCATTCCATGCCAAATGTTTGGTATTCCCCCCCCCCCCCCAAAAAAAAAAAAAAAACTGCATAAATTCGTAAGAAATGTTTCAATTCATCTAACTTGGTAATATAATCTTCTTCTTTTTTTATAAGACTTGAAGCTGCCACTAAGAAAATAGTGATTGATGGATCTGTTCCCATCTATTTGTTGGGTCAGGTAAACAATAAACGACATATATTTTCTTATCTTTAAATGTTAATGGTTATGTTTAGAAACTTTACATTTTTGTCTCATATTCAAATACCTTACATTGTTGTCTCTTCAAATACCTTGCAGTTTCGGTTCTTATTAAAATAACTTTCATTTTTGTTTGTGATTAAAATAGTTTAAACACACTTTAGTCTCCTATTTAAAAACCGTACACTCTTACTTAAATACCATACATTTTAGTGTCTTACTTAAATACCTAACTTTTTTGTCTCTTAATTAAATAAACTACATTTTCGTCTCTTAATTAAAATAGCGTACACTTAAGTCTCTTATTTAAATACCATACATTTTAGTCTTTTACTTAAATACAATACACTTCAGTCTCTTATTTAAATACCATACAATACATTTTAGTCTCTTACTTAAATACAATACACTTCAGTCTCTTATTTAAATACGGTACACTCTTATTTAAATACAATACAATACATTTTAGTCTCATACTTAAATACAAGTCTCTTATTTAAATACCATACAATACATTTTAGTCTCTTACTTAAATACAATACACTTCAGTCTCTTATTTAAATACCATACCATACATTTTAGTCTCATACTTAAATACAATACACTTCAGTCTCTTATTTAAATATTGTACACTCTTATTTAAATATTGTACACTCTTATTTAAATACCATACATTTTAGTCTCATACTTAAATACTTTACATTTTGTCTCTTATTTAAATAAACCGCATTTTTGTCTCTTCTTAAAATATCATACATTTTCCTCTCTTATTTAAACACTTAAGATTTTTGTCTCTTATTTAAAAACCTTATAATTCTGTTTTTTTATTTAAATTCCATTCATTTTTGTCTCTTATTTAAATACCTAACGTTTTAGTCTTACTTAAATACCTATCATGTTGTCTCTTATTTTAAATGAACTACATTTTATGTCTCTTCTTAAAATACATGACATTTTCGTCTCTGATTGAAATACCTAACATTTTATGCCTCTTCTTAAAATACATAACATTTTCGTCTCTTATTTAAATACCTAACATTTTAGTCTTACTTAAATACCTATCATTTTGTCTCTAATTTGAATGAACTACATTTTATGTCTCTTCTTAAAATACCTAACATTTTTGTCTCTTATTTAAATATCTAACATTTTTGTATCTCGTGTAAATATGTTAGTTCAGGAAATGTAAATATAATTTTTTCTTTCAGTCTCTTATTTAAATACGGTACACTCTTATTTAAATACCATACAATACATTTTAGTCTCATACTTAAATACAATACACTTCAGTCTCTTATTTAAATACCATACAATACATTTTAGTCTCTCATACAATTGTCAGCTAAATGTTTTCCAAGTTAAAAATAATTGGTTGGTTGATAAATATTTACCAATGAAGATATTCAGTCATTAAATAATCCGTCCCTTTTTGTAGTTTTTTGTTTTTGCTATCAATATCNCTGTACTGTCATCATACCACATTTTTAGAAAACGAAAAACACTAGACTGGGATCAAGAAACCCCTTTTCTGAAAACCACCTCTGAATAGCTAAACTATACTCATGCTAAAAGTCTTGTATTGCACCTTTTTTGGCAAACCCTGTCAATTTTAAAATGCGATATCCAGAGAAAAGAGTATTAGTTTGTAAACTTTTATATTGTTTAATGTAATTTTGCTTTAGACAAATATAAATGATAAATATATATGTTAGTTCAGGAAATGTAAATATAATGTTTTTTATTGTTCAGGACGATAATATAAACAGCTACAGTATCCTCTCTGCGATTCCTCATCTTCATATTTCATGGAGTGTTAAAGGTTTAGATCTTTAAATCTTGAAATGTTAATAAGAAGGATAAAATCAAACTTAAAGTCAGTTACAATCTTTACGTTTAGAGCATGAACGATGGTGTTAACTTTAGATCATTTGATCTAAAAAATCATATTTTGACATATTTAAGGTCTACGACATTTGGTTGCAAAGGTATAGGGAATAGGGAGAACAAATTTGTTGCAAAGACTAATTTTTTTTTTTTTGTGAGAAACTTTTCCATTATTCTACATCTATAAATCTTAAAATTAAACATAATTTGAATCCCCTTCTCACTACAGCACTTTAAAGTAGTTCTGCATAGAGGGTCTGCATTATTTTATTTAACTCTATATAAATCTGTAATATATTTGTATTTATTAAAGTTATTTACAATTATTTACACAAATAAGATATATATAATTTAACAATTAATATATTCTGAAGCGGTTTTGTTTTCAAGTTTTAATTAATTAAAAAGGTATTTTTTATTTATTAAATGTTTAGGTTTAGTTGATGGAGGAAAGCTGGTCACAACTCTAGATTCTACAGGACTCAAATTATCTCATGATAACGCAGGTAAATTAAAAAAAGAGGAGATAGTATCCTTTTAGACTGAAATAAACAATTATGTACATTGAGTCGGACATAAAAACATGAACGAACTATTTTCCAAAATTTCTTTAAACTCAGATGACAACGACTGTTGAGTAGTGAGTTTTACTTAATTATAAATAATTTGCAAAGTGACACTTAAAGAGCTCACAGTTCCTTTTAATTATTATTATGTACAGATTTTATTCCAGGCGTCGCTATCTTCCAAGGAGTCTCAGCTGGCAAAGCAGTTGTATCAGTTACTGTCAAGATCAGCTCCAAAAGCCGTAACTCCCATTTCCAGCTGCTCCAAGATAAGGAGCTCACCGCGACACTGGAGTTATTGGTAGTTGACCGTCTAGAGGCCAAGCTACCTGTGTCCTGCATAAACCATGTTCTCGTATCTCCAGAGGCAAGCCTACTTCTAGCTACGAATAAGAACGAGAAGACAGTATATTCTGTTGTCGGAGAATCTAGTGGTTTTAGTGTATCCAGGAGGGGTTTAATCACTGCTCCAAGGAATACTGGAACCACGGTGGTGATGGGATCTGTTACAGAAGACGGAGGACTACGTCAACAGGTATTTATATTAAATCATTTGTAATATTTTAATCAGGCTTATTCACAACGAATAAGAGCTCTTAGACGGCTGTGCATAATATACCCAGTTCTTTTTATTCTTCGTCAGGGGTAATTCCTAAAACTATAAACACCTGTTCTTCGTACCCCTAAACTGTAAACTGGTTTCTTTTCTAAATCATTCAGTATTTAGCGCTCTATTCCATTGAATGATGGAATATCTGCTTACAACAATAATAATAATGTTTACTGTAATCAGACCAGCTGGGTGGTAGAGGTAGTGCCAGTTCATTTTATCACCCTGGAGTCCACACATTCCTCCTGGACCCTGGCTCAAGATGCAGAATATCTACCCAGGGGGGCGAACTTAGATATAAAGGTAATCAGTCAACTATCCATGGGCAAACTTAGGTATAAAGGTAATCAGTCAACCATCCAGGGGGCACACTTAGATATAAAGGTAATCAGTCAACTATTCATGGGCAAACTTAGATATTAAGGTAATCAGTCAACTAGCCATGGGCAAACTTAGATATAAAGGTAATCAGTCAACTATCCAGGGGGCAAACTTAGATATAAAGGTAATAAATCATTTACCCAGGGAGGCAAATTTAGATATTAGGTAATCTCAATCATCTACCCTGGGGGGACAAACTTAGATATAAAGGTAATCAGTCAACTATCCAGGGGGCAAACTTAGATATAAAGGTAATCAATTAACTACCCAGCGCGGGGGGGCAAACTTTTATATACAGGTAATCATTAATCAATCATCTACTAAGGCACACTTAGACATAAAGGTAATCAATCAAATACCCAGGGGGGGAACTTAGATATACAGGTAATCAATCTACTAACTACCTATCTTACATTATATGTTTACCAAATTGTAACATTAATTTTCCTTGATTCTGATCTCGATATTCTAGGTGAACTGTTTTGATATTCTTGGAAGAAAATTACATGCTTGTCCCGTTGATATAATCTCTAGACCATCCAGGTATAACAAATGTGTTTAAGATATCAAATAGGAATAATGACGTTAATATTTTTCCAAAATCCCTCCCCATAAATTTGAGTGAAGGGAATATATATTTTAAAGATTGACAGGGGAGAGATGAAAATTGAAGATTAACATATTCTTAGATACTTTAACCAAAAATTAATTTATTTTCTCTAAAAAAGATAGTTATTTTCTACAATCTACGGGAGAAAAAAATCTTGTAAAACTTATTTTTCGAAAACTGTTGATAATTTAATTTAATTAAATATGTTTTAATGTATAGGGAGCCCTTTATTTTTATTTTGCTTCAAAAAAGTGATAACATTGCTACGTTGTTATGAAGAATTAAAGAAAACATTTAAAAAGTTTGAAATTTTAAAACAAGCAAACAATTGTTTTCTTATTAATCAATTAAAAATTCCCACTTTTTACAAGATTTTGTCTAGATTTGATCTGATCAAGATGGTTCCTGCTTCTAACAACTCGTTCACTTTAACAACACAAGGAAAATAATCAATGATAACATAAAACCCATTAGTCAATTAATAAGCAACCAATTGATCAAGAAAATACCATTGGTTGACATTGGTTGGATCAAAGAAAAGAAAAACAAAATCGGAAAAGAACAGTCGATTTTAAAAATTTTAATTGATCAGTAAAAGATTTCATTATCAATTACTCATTGTTTATGAAAATAAAAACTGAAATTTAACTTATTACTAAAAATGTATATATTTTTTAACTGGAAAAACAGCTGTATAAACTTGAGTGTAGTTTAAACCTACATTAACTCTGAATGTTAACCCTTCTTTACACTGGTATATATTTACATATTTTATATTTTCTAGTTTCCCTCTTTCAACGAACAAAACCCTAAAACATACATAATTATTAATTTCTGGGGGAAATTATTTTCATAGAAAATATTACCCCCTTGGTTAAACCTACCCCAAGAACAATGGGTAGAACCTACTGAGTAAAGTTAAATGATATAATTTCTAATCCATGATGAAATATTTAGTTGATTAATTATGATTATACCAGGAAACGGATATACCGTTCTTAGAGTTCAAGATAGATTGAATAGTAAAGTTGCCTGGTCTAGTCTGAAGGTAATCCATCTCATCATAGAAAGAGAAAATGCAACCCTGATAGATACCAAATCTTAAACAAAAGAAATTATGAATTTTACGTGGCCGGATGTTATTCAAAAGTTATTCTCAAAAACTTCTAATCCTGCATTTTTCTTTGTGAAAAAGAAGTATGTAATTGTCCAAATGCCATTTTTTTCAACTTGTAAAGCAATAACTTAAACCTTTAGAATTTGAAGATTGATTATTTTTCCACAGTAAAAATTTTTTTTTCATCATCCAGCAATTTCTCCATATTATATAATTGTTTCTAAGGTCGGAGAAGCTGTGTTAGCCCCTCATACAACGGCACAAGGAGACGTTGTTGATTTTGATCTAATGATTAAACATACGGGAGAAGGTCAGTATTAAGTATTTTCTGGAATTATCGGACAATCATTTTTGATGTTAACCTGACTCAGAAATATCTAAATTTAACCTCATTCTAAACATTGGCTTTTAAAGATAATTGTCAAAAAAATTTATTGACCAATTTTTGGAAGGAGGAAACGGGAAATCTATCCCCCATCTTTCTTTTTACCCTCTCTTCCATTGAAATCTATTATTACAGCAGCAAAAAATGTTCTGACTAGAAAACTAATAATACGTATTCCGCAATGGCTTGGAACCCTGTTCTGAAACTCGGAAGCCGATAGCTAGTCCTCGCATTTACGCAAAACATTTTTTTATTGACTGATAAGAAGTCTTGTCCGGCAAGGGGAATAGTGAGTGAGTCCACACGCAAAAATGTACATAATAGGGACTGTCCTTTCATTTTTTCCTTAATTTCCTTAATTTTTGTTGTAGGTAAGTGGAGTGATGACCCATCTGGAATTCTCGATATATCCGGTAAAACCGGTTCTGTGGTTGGATCTGGGAATGTCAGGGTTAAATACACTACTCCAGATGACGGGGTCTTCTTTACAGACGTTCTTGCCAAAGGTTGGTTTGTTGACTCGAACTAGTTATTATTCTTAATCAAAATTATGATAGTTGGGAAAATTCCACAAATGTACGTGTTTTTTTCTTCTAAAAAATTTGGATTCCGATTTAAATTAGATTTTAATTTCAAAGTGAATCTAAAAAGTTGCTAATTATATCAAAATTGAGTTCAGCCCTTAAGTCTTTTGGTTTAATTCAGTGCTTCTTCTTCGTCAAACTTTCCTTTCTTCTCAGAACACAAAATCTCAACTGTTTATTAAACGTCCTAATATCTCAAGCTTGAGAAGAAAAATAAAATCGAGAAGTTTTTTATTTTTTTTTAAATAGATAAATTTTAACGAAATGTTCATGACCTGGATCCAAATCCATTCTTTTTCAGGGCGAATCAAGGATCCGGGTCCGCACAATAAAAGAGATTGGTACTTAGTCCTTACGTTTAATTGATTTTTATTTAGGTGCTGATCATATCAAAATCGGAGAGACAACTACATTGTGGCCCAGCCCTTCTCCGATCCAGATTCCAGTCAGATTTGGTAAACAAAAGATTTATTGAATCGAATTCAACAATTTTTAACGATGTAGTGTTTGTCAATTTTTAATTAGTCAAATGTCAATTTGATTTGATACGAAGTTTATTACCTCAGTAATTTTAGCAAAACGGCCAAAGTTGCAAGCAAAAATAATGTTTAGAGTTAGAAGTTGGCATTTCTTTCTAACTAACCACCGTGATTGATTGATTGATTGATTGATTGATTTAGGTTCCGGTTCCCAAGTATCCAGTTTAGCACTAAGTGAAAAGAATGTTAATCCGAAGAATATGTTCAGTTGTAGAGCAAGCTGGGAGATGGGACCGATAGAGCAAGTAAGATTAAAATTGGTTATATTCTTGACTCAGTGTCCCGAGAAATCTGATAAATTTGAATTTAACTAAAAAGATAAGGAAGAAAACATCATTTTAAGTCTCCTTTTCCTGCAGCTGGAACCATTATTTCTTTTAATTTTGCTATAAACAAGCTATATTTACACAATACAGGGGATGTATTTTTAACTTGATCTTAATTCTTATTGTGAACATCGAACTTTAGGTTTCTAAATATATGATTCAGTAAATGTTCAGGTGTCGAACGTAATACCAAAATTAACTAAATGTGTATGTGCTGAAAGTAACATCAAGCTTAATGAAATGGTCAGGTGTTCAAAGAAGCCCCAAAATGGATAAGTGTTCAGAGATGGGAACTTTTGAATGGGATATCCTTAATCCTGATCGGTTAATTAATCTGGAGATTAAAAATGAGTGGAGAACAAGCAATATTTAACCTGCAGATTAAGAAAAAGAGTGGATTAAGCCTTAATCCCGATATCCACCATTCTAAAGTTTTCAGCTCAGGTGTTCAAAGTGACCCCAAGGTCGATAAAATGTTCCGATGTTCAAAGTAGCCCTAAGATTGATAAATGTTCAGGTGTTCAGGGTGACCCCAAGGTTGACCGCTGAAGGTTGGAGTTGTGAATTCACCTGTATCAGTAAGAATACTCCGACAACACCTTTAACGGTGTCCCTAGTGGTGGAGTCAGTACAGGTATATTACTTAAATCTTGTGATGATTTTCTCTTAAAATTAGCAAACCTATTGGGAATAGTTTTAAATTTCGCATGCTTAATTCCGTAGGAGGTTTGGGTCTCCTACNGGGGCTGCAACAATCAAGTACAATTGATGTTGTTACAAAGCAAAAAGTACTATTTGTAATTTGTTGAATCTCTTGTTAAGTTAAACAGGTCACACTTCACAATTGCTGTGTCTCATGTTCATGGGACCATTAAAACTAATAACTTGAGTCTAAAAGTCGTTTTCTTATTCGAGAGTATTCTGGTTCTCACTGTATATAAATAGTAACATATATATGTCTGTTTTGATGTCTGATCATAACTCAGGAACCTCTTGACCGATTTGTCTAAAATTTTGATTTGAGAACTTGGTAGGAAACCAGAAATATGCATAACTTGGATTAAAGAATTGTAAGTTGAGTGGGTTAACATTCTTAAAGAAAGATTAGTATTCTGGCAAAGCCGGTTTCCCAAGCTAGTACATAGCAAAGAAATACAATTTGGTATTGTTCTAAAATGTTAAATAAAGTCGAAGGAAAACTTGTTTACAAGGTAGATTTTGTTTGAATGTCGTCACCCAACATTCATCTATATTTTTAAAGATAACAAAACAAGTATATATCCTTTTTACTTATCAGGGTGGACTGGTTGGAGAGAAATCACTCTTCTTCTTCCCTACCTTTAATGTAAACACACTAAACCTGGAGATAGGTCCAGATGGGGGTTTTCTCTTGGTGTCAGGTTAGTAAAAACAAAAACGGATTCGTATCCAGGCAGCTAAAACAGTTTAATAGATGCCATCATTTTAATCATCACTATTTTTGTTTAGGCCATTTTGAAGTTCTCAGCAACTTGATATCTAAAGGAATTCATCAAATATTCATTTTATAGGGTTCTTAGATACTGCGATAAAAAGATAGAATGCGCATTTTATTTAACATCGCGCGTAAAACCATGCTGTGAAACATTGAAAAAAAATCACTTTTTAAAATGTTAAGTTGTAAATGTCCTAAGGTTAGTCCTTAAAGTTGTTTTTGGAACATATATGAATATGCAACCTGAATATACTCTGGACGAAATTGGAGTGATTTTAATTACTTAAATTCTACAAAGTTTCAAAGTAAAACGTTTATATTACATATCTTACATCGATTCTTTTTTTCTAATGCCTTAATGCCTTTTCAAAGTTATTTGAGTCCACTTAAAATATTTATTGTTTAATGATAATACTAATAACAATAATTGATTTAGTTATGTCTAGTCTGAACACTACCTTAAATCCTAAGATCAACTATAAGTATTTAAAATTTATAATTGGTTTGATTGATCAAAAATAGGACATTAAGTTTGCTCATTCTTGAACACATTTAACCAAACTCAGCGAATAAAACCATTAAAAAAAAAAAAAATTCCGTTTCGCTTAAAGTTTAAACATGCCTATTGCATAACTTAAAGGGGGGCTAATTATTTTTTAATTATCTCTTGTTTTTCCCCCTTCATATTCCTAATATTCTTAAATCCTACCATTTAAAGTTTGCATCCCAGAAATAGTAGTTTCTGAAGCTAAGCCTATCCCAACTAAAAGTGTTGCCCTCTGATGAGTGTTGATGAATAATCAGGAGAGGGAGTACACGTCGGTCCTGCCTGGTTAGAGGAGGAGATGTTTAAACTACCAGTTCTTCTCAAGTTTCCAATTGTTAAAGAACCCACGGTTAGTAAAGAGACTGTAAACGTAATTTTACGTAATTACATGTCTGATTCACAATGGTACCCTTAGAAACTTAATCTTTTTTAAATCACGAAATAACGAAACAAACTTGTTCGTTTTAATTGATATTGTTTAACTTTGTCAATTATGACTTAAATTTTCTTTAAAGATTGTTAATTCCTTGTTTACTCAACAATTGTGGAACTGAACGCTTTAAATTAAATACTGAACAAGTCGAGGTCAGTTTTGATTGCACTCTATGCTGTAAAAGAATTTGGGACTCTGGAACTCTTGTCTCCAGATGGAGTTGGTGTTGTGGAATAATGATTTTCTTTTACACAAATCAAAATTTCTTAATGGATACTGGATATTAAATGACAGTAGAAAAACTTTCTTGTGGAATTTTAAATATATTTAAGTGGATTTCTGACTTCAACGTTCCAGTAATAATGTATTTAAAAATGCATTTACGGTTAATGATCTTTAACAAGATGTTTCTAAATGAACATAAATCCGTTTATTTTTCCAGGTATCGATCTTATGTACACTGACTGGTCAGGAGATTGAAGTTGTAGTTCAGCCAACCTTCAGGTTTAGCGGACAGTCCGGTGGATTCCTTTCAGATATATTCAGGGATATTATGGGTAAATAATTATTATCATTATAATAGACAAGTTATTTTAGTCAAGTAGATCATTCCAAACAGTACTTAGGATCCATTTAATTGTGATGCTGATCCGGATCCTGGATCCGCCCTGTAAAGAAATGGATGCGGATCAGGAAATTTTTATTATCTTTCTTTTTTCAGAAGTTCAGATTCGGGTATTGAGCGGTTTCGGATCCGGATCCAGGAGGCCAAAATCTTGCGGATATAGCACTGATTCCATTTCTCACTACATTTTTTTAAACGGGATAGTGGAGATGTCCTATTTTATGAAGGTTGAGGGGGGAGAGGTTCCTGCCTTCAGTTTTGGTTCAAATCTTCCAATTTTTAGGCTGCGCACCTAATTAAGGAATTTTTTTCAAAAATAAAATTCTACGGCGAAGCTTTCTTCGGATTGTCTTCAATTATAACTACTATAAAATTGGACACTTGAACTAGAAGTTAGTCGTGGCTTTTCCTTCTTTCTTGATCAAGAACTTGGTTGGTTGGTTGGTTGGTTGGTTGGTTGGTTGGTTGGTTGGTTGGTTGGTTGGTTGATTGATTGATTGATTGATTGATTGATTGGTTGGTTGATAAACTTGTTTGTTCAGTCCACTACCAGACTGTGTTGACCTGCCTGGTTCTGGTTGCACTATCTATCTATCTACTTCGCCCTGGAACTAAACCACCTCCAGCCCCAGCTCCGCCCCCAGCCAAACCTGTAGACTCCCCTTCCGCCTCCCCCTCACCTCAACCCTACCTCTGGACACAGGATAACTCTCCTATATATGGGAGTCCTATCTACAGACGATCTCCTCAGTCTCAGGTTAGCATAATCGTATTTTTATTATTCGTACATATTGATTTCCAAATATCACCACTCTCAAATTTTCAACAACCAAAAAGTATGTTTTTAAACTTTAAAATTAATTCAACTCTGCTGTAGGTATATTGCGTTTTGTGCCCGGCAGACTCTAACTTTTACATATTATTGAAATAGAATATGCAATTCGAACCAAAAACAAAGACTTCATTACCTCTCTCGCAACCTGTTATAGTTTTGAATGGACATTGGATAAGTTTGTTGTTTTGTATTTAAAATTTAATTATCAAATATTTGAATATTTTCAAACTTGAAATTGTGCGGGAAATATTATGATTAGTAAAATCCACGAAATTTAAGAGAAACCCGTTTTTAATCTGATAACCTCTTGTTTAGGCCAGAAACCTGACTCAATACTCGTACTCATAAACCTGAAGTACCAACCTACCTCCGATCATTTATGTGATAACAAGAATCAAGTGTGTTGCTCAGTTATACTAATTTCTATCGCCAAAGTAAATGAAAATAATGAAAGCCACTTTCTTAATCTTAATTTGTAAATTCGATCGTGTCAAAGTTCTTGAGGCAGAATTAAAAATAATAATCGTTGTTTTCGGATGTATCATAAGAGTAAGTTGTAAAAATTAACTACTGTAAATTCATTCAGCAATTATTGGTGTTGATGTACTTAGTACTAATAAATTATTTTTTCGGCTTGTTGTTTACCTAATTGGAAAGAGATTGCTTGCATACAAAAATTGTACAACTTAATCCCAGAGAAGTTTTATACGCAATCAGAATTGAAAACTTTTACTTTAAAAAAAATCTACTTGTTTATTGAAAATCAAATAATTTAAAGAAAACAAATTTTGTTCATTGAATTAAGATAACAATGACTACATGATAATGAATAGCTAGTGAATAGTATTATACGAAGCCGCAAAGTCTTAATTGTGGGTCCTGAATGCTAGTTCTCGTAAATGGAGTAAAAACTTTTTTAATGTAGGCTATGTCACAACACCGAATAATGAATATAGTTAAAGTTTTTGCTTTAAAAATATTATGAAAGTATGGGATAGATCAGAGCCCAAAACTTAAGACAGGGTATTATTGTGAAAACCAGTTTTGAAACCCGGGTTTCACGAATGGGGTAAGGTAGTTTTGTGAATATCAATATTTCTGTTATGAAATATTATTTTATTAGTTTATTCATATTCTCCATTTTTTCGAATCTCTTAAATAAAATTCAACACAAATATTAAGACCCCAAAAAAGGACACTCGGGAGTTTCGTTCAACTCGGATGGGCAAGAAGATATGCCCATCCGACCTACAGCTGTCGTAGGTCAGATGTTGCAGTAGGTCGGATGGGCAGTATAGCGGATGGGCAATAGGGCGGATGGGCAGTAGAGCGGATCAACATTACCGATATTTTCCACAGCATCTTCTATTGTGTACAAGTACTGTACACGACCCAAAATTTCGCAATAGTTTCTAGAATTTTGAACAAACTACGCGGCAGTGTAGCATATCTTGGAAATATTTAGTCTGATTTTTAATGACAAACAATAAATTTTGTTTTATTACAAGTTTCTGGTGGAAAAATGTCGATTTTTCTATAATGTGAATAATACTTTTTTTAGCTTCTAATTTTTTCTTCCTAATTGTGGCGAATATGGCTAAGTAATAATGTGTAATAAAGAAATTCAAAAAAATTCTTCCGTATTTTCCAAACCAAATCCTGCCGGCTGTCTTTGACACAGCTTCCCTAGTCCACCGAATCATTTATTATTCTGTTATTCAGATTGTGGTTCTGTCCTAGTGAACGATTTTTGGACCCCCCCCCCCTCCTATCAATTTTGTACATGACCATTTATTTTTCAGCAAATTTATTATTATTTATTTTTTTGTTATTTAGGGTCCAAAAATCGTTCTCTAGGAATATACCTTTAAATATTTTATCACTTAATTTGGACACCTGAACTTGAGAGGAAATCTTTATGATTTGTTAGGATTTTTCCTTGGATTGGGTCTGAAATATCTAAAGTAAGCTTCCTTCCACTCCCTTTCAAAAGCTTAGACAAATGGCGCATGACTTTATACTTTTGTTGGCGAATATATGCTTATTAAAGATCCTTATGATTATGATTTTAAAACCTGGCAATCAATATTCGGCTTGAAAAACGTTTTTGACACTTTCAGTATTCTGGCTAATGGAAACTTCTGAATGAAGTCACCTCTTGGACTTTTTAAGCCACTTTTTAACACAGGATCTATCTTTGGTCAATGCAAACTTATTCCTTATTTGTATGTCTGATTAAGAAAAGTTTCAGCTTAATATTCGTAGATACATAAATTAAAGAACAAAGTGTAGGTGGAAACCTTTGTAATGTACACCCTTAAGTACACATGTACGATAGATTACACACAACCCATAGAGTAATAAAACGAAGAGGTGAAGCTTAGCTCAGATGTACACAACCGACCTGTCTATTAATTTATTAATAGAAGGTCGGTTGTGTACATCACGATATGTTTACGTATCTGATCTGTCTACTGGAGAAATATGAATATGGCTTCCTTCAACCCCTTCTCAACAAAGTTATACGTAAAACCTTGACAAATTTACCTCAATTTGAGCCAGGTGGGGACGAATCCCTGTGGAACTAAAATTTTGCCTAAACTCTGAAAGTTAACGAAGCATTCAAGGATATGAGAAAGCGAATGCCAGACTATGACTATAAAAATATTTTAGATAATTGTCTGAGAAATTCTTGTGAATTTACACTATTGCAGACGTGATGGCATTGTTTAATGTTTATGTTATAGAGGACGTGAGTTAAACTCGAATGAAACTCATAAAGTAACTTCCAGTATATATATTTCTTATAACTTAGATAAGATAAGATAAAGTTTATTGCTAAAATAAATGTATCTGTATACAGATAGAGGTTACAATCACAAAATTGATGATTATATTAACAGTACAAGTATAAAGCAATTAGATGGAAATTAGCTCTTGGCTGTTTTGATTATTTTTTCCACCTAATGTTAGTAATAATAACAAAATATTTCAATTAAATAGATTTTAGGAGAACTTATTACTAGAGGGTTCAGAACATGAGTAAATATCGATATTACACGTGTAGATGTTTCAGTACAATGCTCCGTATCCGTTGAATCTTGTGGGATTTGTTTAATGCGGCCAGGCATCGTCTTCCACAATATGGAAATTAAGACCGAGGACACCCATGTAGCTGAAGTTGATCTAAATCTATCACTTGAACAAGAGAAAATGGTCCCTGAAGTCACATGTCTAGTTGAAGGAGGAAAGTGTTCATGAAAAATAATTAAGTTCTGTTATATTTAGAATAAAAATGGCGTTTACCTTTGCTGCGTTCTCCTACATTATTGCGCTAATCGTTGACGCATTCCTCATATTCTTCGCCATTTTCCACGTAAGTTCTTAAATTTTTTTCAACTCTATTTTGTCAAGTTTTATATTTAACTATCCGAAGAACCCGTAGTTGTTTTAGAAATGTCTTAGCCTATGGTCACCCACCGGGATACCATGGCTTCCCTAAAAAAAAATATTTTTTTCACCTGCTCCACACCATTTATGCTACTTAAGGCAATTTTTCTTTTACAGATGTATTGTACAAAATCCGATCTATTAGCATTTAAAGTGTATTGAAGGTTGTTTTTCAGGCAAATTTGTCAGCAAGTGAATCCGTGGTCAATTAAGTTTTAATTGTATCGCTTTTTAAGACTTAAAATTCTTTTTTCACAATCACACTCGAGTTGTCAATTTGGGTTAATCAAGTTTTTCTAAAGGTGGATAAAGCCCATTAAGCATATTACTTTCTATAACAATTTTATTTCTGATTCCTGAATATGGTCAAAAATGGTCAGCTACTCTACATATGAATTACAATATTTATGTATTTTTTAAAATTCTCTAATTTTTTTTAGATAATTGCTTTTGACGAATTGAAGACAGATTACAAGAATCCAATCGACCAGTGCGCTAGTCTGAACCCTCTTGTAAGTTATTTCTTAGTTCATTTTATCGGAGAAGTCGTCTTGCTGGAAACACCATAATTTTTTTCGAAACCAAGCGTAAATTTATCTTTTACATTCCAGGGGACATTATTTCTAAAACTAACATTTGATTTGATTTGATTTGATTTGATTTGATTTGATTTGATTTGATTTGATTTGATTTGATTTGATTTTAAGCAGTGTTTTGGATCCGTATCATTTTGATGCGGATCCGCATCCGTGATGATGGATCCGGATCCTGACTCTGATGCGGATCCGGATCCGGATCCGAGGTAACTTTTGATTCTGTGAATACTTTATATATTTTAAATTTGCGCCATGTGAGCATTTGCCGCTGAGTAATCCTAAAGTTAAAAATGTCGTCATTACTATTATATAAATGTAAACATTAAACTATTAAAGATAATTTTGAAAAATGTTCGTCATGTAAATAATACATTTACGAACCATTTTGATTTATTTATTCCATGGTTTTGGTTAATTTTTGGCGCTACCCGGATCCATATCAACGTTTCCTGATACGGATCCGGATCCGACCAAATGATACGGATCCGAAACGCTGATTTTAAGGAAACGAGAAAAAAGGCTTTTGATACTTATTCCCATAAAAAGTGATCAAATAATTAGATATTGAAGAATAAATGAGAAAATTCAAGTTTTTCGTGCTTCTTTGCCTTGATAATTGTATTTTTAAGTTCGCACTTTTTGAATCGATTGGATTAGAGTTGAACGCTCTAATTGATTAAGCTGTAAACCACTCTGTACTTCACAATGTATTCAGGGACAGATTGATCTTGTGTCGGGCTTCTCAAACAGGAGGAGTTTTAGTATCTTGTTTCTGAAATGTCTTTTATTATATAATTATATACTTTTTCCAGGTTCTGCCCGAGTATATTCTACATCTGGTGTTCAACGTTCTCTTCGTGTTTGCCGGGGAGTGGTTCTCCCTTGCCATCAACCTACCCCTCGTAGCCTACCATATTCACAGGTATAGTCCATTCAAGGTATACTAATTGTTTAAAAAATTGTGAAACCTGAACTTCTGTGTAAGTGAACAAGGTAATTTTTAAAGAATAAAAAACTGTTCTTACATTTACAACAATTGCTTGAGATATCTACAGTAAGAATTTGCATTTTTTTGTAAATTTTAGAAAGTGTTTTTCTCTTAGTTCGTGATAAATGAAACAGCTGCCATAGGTTAGATAAAAATCAAAGTATGCAGGGCATACATTTTTTAGTAATAGATAGATACAATATTGGATTTAAACAAACTTGCCCCAAAATTAATATTTATTTCCCTCAAAACGATTTATTGTCCCAGACTCTGGTTCCCTGAATCTGTTTGTATTTCTTTAAAAACTTTAATACGTACATTGTTATAAAAATATAATTTGATATCAAAACCGTCCTCCACAGGGGAAAACAGATACTGTGGAAAACGGTTTCCTATGGTGGAGCAGGATGTCATAAAAAAACATGGCTTAATAGATCCTTAACTCATTTCTCAGTTGTTATCTTGTTTTGAGATCTCTTGTATCGATGTATATTTTCTTGAAAAAGAAACCCCCCCCCCCCCACGGCCCCCATTTGAAAATCATTTAGTTCTCCCTGAAGTTTGATGTTTCATAGGTTATTGTAAGGGGAAAATATCAAACAGGATGAAAACACCTGCTTTTTGAATATTGATTTCTAATGTTTGATATTTTTTTCCAAAATAGTTCCCCCCAAATTCTTAAAATTAGACAGCCCTGCAATATTTACTGTGAAGGTATATGCACCGTCCTGTGATGAGTGGGCCTGGGCTCTACGACCCAACCTCTATCATGAACATGGATACACTCAACAAGTGTCAGAGAGAAGGATGGATCAAACTCGCCTTCTACCTCCTCGCATTCTTCTACTATCTATACGGGTAGGAACATCAAGATTAGCATTTAAAGGGACTACCGTCGTAATTTCAAGTCACTCTATCTGCAGAGTTGCCTGCTGGATTCACAACAGAACCCTTTAACCTTTTATTTGAGCAAAAATTTGGACGATATTGCCGTTTTTCTATTCTGTAATTAGAAAAATTCTGTCAATATCATTCCTTGTCTCTGCTTCACAAATTCGCAAGTAAAATTTTTTTGAGTAATACAAGAAATTATAAATTTTCAGATAGAGCAAGCACTTTTTTACATTTTCCAATTTTAATGGTTTCGATTTATTGTAGTGTTCTTATTGCCAGGGTGGCTAAAATGTACGGATTGTACGGATTGTACGGATTGTACGGATTGATTTGTTTTTAACCCTAAAATTGTACGGATTGTACGGATTTGTTTTCAAATTGTACGGATTGTACGGATTTTATCGTGGAAAATACACCGTTTTTTTTTAATTTTCACTCATTTCAGCAAATTTTTCATGAAAATAAAAAAATTCTCGTCAAAATGAAGTTAGATTAACTTATTTTCTGCATTCTAAATAATATTAGATTGATTAATGTTTCAATTGACAAT